GAGAGAGAGAGAGAGAGAGAGAGAGAGATTGGTTTATTGATTGAGTGGTAATTACATGATACCTCCCACCTGCTTCACTCTACATTGTCTCTGTAATACCTCTTAGCCTTCATTCTCCCCTTCTTTGGGTTCTTTCTTCTTTACAAAGAAGGCTGAGATGTGTCACTCTTGTCACTACTAAAAAGCTCTCATCTTAGTTTTAATTGAAATACTCTATTGAACCAGATTGAATGGAGAGTCATATAAAATAGATCATACTTGAGAGGCTTAGTGTGCCAAAGAAAATGTCTCTGCACCTTCTTTACATTCAGCTGCATCGCAAGATACTTCTTGTGTGATATTGAAAGGAGTATGTCCTTCAAATTGGGAATATCTTTCTCTGGGAGAATGACTGAGAAGGCTTCCCAGTCTAAAACCTCAAAAAAGGGAGGCACAAAGTTGTCAGATATAATAACAGGGACACATTCATAGAAGATGGCCTCAACAACTCGTGGACTGTTCACCTCATAACCCCTAGGACATATGCAGTACTTGCTGCTCTTCATGTGCTGAATGTAGTTCATTTTACTTGCAACACCACTAGGCATCGGACCTAAGATCTTCATGTCGGGGTCTCTGTTCTCCCAGTACTTGAGTAGGATTGGACGTAAATACCCATGTATGTTCCCGGCATAGAAGGCAAGAATTTTTCTCTCAGAAACAGGTTTTCCACCAATATCCCTTTGAGGATTCTTTGCAGAGCGGACATATGTTTCTGGCAGAGATACATCCCTGCCTATTTTGAAGCCTGTGGTAACATCAGCATTGCAGAGGGCTTTGATGCAACGTTCCATGTGATGCCTTGTTTCATATGGAGCCTGGCAAAGTGCAATTAATCAAAAACATCAAGAACTAATAAATTCTAGGCCAATATAATTAATCTGTCATGTTAAGGACTTAAGTTAAAGGAAAGGTGTAGAACACAAGTTTTAATGCATAAGGAGACATACATACCCAGTCATGGCAACCAACAAGAAAATGATCTGTTCCTCCAGTTCTGTTCCAGAAGGGATATTTTGCAGCAATCATTTCGGCATAGCTTTTCAAATATTGGCGTAGGTTTGTTCTATTGTGTGAATTGCGCACATACAATGTAAATTCTAGCATTCGTGTACTAAAAGGCATGTAAAACAAATGGGCTTTTCTTGGATCTTTCACAGAAAATTGCTTGTTTCCCTCCATCAGTTTCATAAACCATCCCTCAGAAGCATATATTCCCTTGAGGATTGGCTGATGAAATATGGGCTTTCCTCCTTCCCTGTAGACGTAGACTTTGAGCAAATGTTCCATCAGTTCATAACTCCTGCAAATGGGACCATATGGAAGTTCCAATTGAATGGCTATCCATAAATGTAGTATCAACAATTTTAAACCTTCATAGATCAATAGAACATGGATCCATGCAAATTCATGAAAGAAGTATAGTAGTAGCATTTTAACTTATCAACAGCTAAATTAATGTACAAGAGACGTTGTAGGAAGATAATTCCCCCAATGCAGCTACTTTCATTATTTTTCTTCATTTATAAAATCAAAAACCAAAATGATAGAAAACTCTATATAATCATGTCCACCTTTGGCTGTAAGCAACCAGAGGACCTTCTTAACCTGATCTACAGTACCTTGATTCTTGAAATCCCCTAACTGAGTGTTTTAAAAGCAAAAGCGCAAGAGCCAATTTGTGCCCGAGGCACAAGGCACAAGGCGCAAGGCAAGGCGTGCACCTTTTTGAAGCAAGGTGCAAAAATACAAAAAAAAAAGCTAAAAATAAAAAAATGTCAGAAAATTAAAAAAAATGTCAAAAATAAAAAATATTAAACATAATATTAATAAAAAGCATAAACTTAAATTTTAAAATAAATGTCTCAAAAAGCCTATTATTTAAAATTAAAATACATAAACATAACATGTAAAGCGTATTCAAATGAAAATTTAAAAATAAAATCTAACATATAAAACATTTTCAAGCATGTAAAACCCGTAATCTCTTTTTTCCTCAATTACATTACTTCAAGTATCTAATGTGATGTAAAACATATTACATATAAAACATTTTACAAGCATGTAAAACCCATAAATATACGATATATGTGCCCAAATGTTTTTTTTTGTAAAATTTATGTATTTTTATTTTTGTGTTTTTTATATTTTATTATTTGATTATAACGTTAAAGGTTAATAGATTTGGGACCCCAACAGTTGAACTATTGATCTTCGCTAAACATGAAAATAATTTCATTTTCATCATCAATAAAAATATTTCTTTTTGATTAATAAACAATATCACAATTGTGACTATTTTTTCTACATTTTTTAATTTTACATATTTATTTCTATTTAAAAATTTTATTATATAACTATGATTTCATGGGTTGGCCAATATGATTTCAGTTTTTCTAGACCACTCCTCTCCAGACAATAGAGTTTGAGCAGAAACTTCTACAGGTAGTTTTTCTTGTTCTTCGTTTTTCAATGCTTTGGTCCTTCCTTCTAACCCTGTTTCCTCTTTTCCTGTTAAAGAAGTTTGGAGTGCTCCGGTCCCCCCAAAAGTAAGGGCTTTTTGTTGGGAAGTGATTCTCCAAAAAATCAATACCTTGGAGGTGCTTCAAAGAAATAAACCAAATTGGTGCTTGTCACCTCATGTCTGTAGCCTTTGTTTGAGGAATGGTGAGACGGTGAATCACCTATTAATTTCTTGTCCTTTTAGTGCTCTAATTTGGGATTGGTTCTCCTCTCTCTTTGATTGTAGGTGGAATCCTCCCACAAGTGTAGCAGATTTATTTAACCCTAGCTTTTTCCGACAACCAAAGAAGAAAGGAAGGGTGATGTAGAGAACAACGAGGGCAGCTATCTTGTGGGCAGTATGGGAAGAGAGAAACAATAGGATTTTCCAAGGGAAAGAAAAATCAGCTCCTAAAGTTATTGAAGGTATCACCATCAAGGCAGTACATTGGCTGAAAACTCTTGACTTGTTCAAGGATGTCTCTACAGATGATTTGATTAGAGGCTGGAATATTTTAGCAAGATCTACTTTATCACCTACCATACAAGCAGTTTGGTCCCCTCCTTTGCAATGTCATGTCAAATTGAACTCTGATGGCAGCTCTATTAGGAACCCCAGACCTTTTGGAATAGGAGTGTGTTTAGAGATGCGGAAGGAAAAATCCTAGCTCTGTATTCTAACCCAATAGGTGTGGGGGACTCACTTAGAGCTGAAGTTTTGGCACTCCTCTAGGGGCTCAGATGGGCCAAGCAATTGGGTTTCCAACAGTTGGAAGTGGAGGGGGATTCAAAATTAGTAGTAGGATGGCTGCAATCAAACAGTTTGGGAACGTGGTCCCTTAGACAACAGGTAAGGGAATTATTGAGCCTCACAAGGGAGCTGGATGCAAAAGTGTATTGGTCTAGGAGGTCAGCAAATGCTTTAGCAGACTACCTAGCAAAACAGGGGGTGAATCGGGAGTTTTTGTTTTGTGCAGTGTTGCAAGATTTTTGTTATTCAGGGGTCACCTTTTACTTTGGAAGGTGATAGTTGTTTCTTATGGTTTTATCTAATGAATGTTATCGTTTCCTATCAAAAAAAACAAGTTGAATTGCTTAGTCATCACTTGGATAAAGAATGCTTTATTATTATTATTATATTGCTTAGTCATCACTTGGATAAAGAATGCTTTATTATTATTATTATTATTATTATTATTATTATATTGCTTAGTCATCACTTGGATCATTGACCCACCATTTAGATAGGAAAGTAACTTTGCTTTTAAATCAATTTTAAATTATATATTTCATCTACATTATATAAATATTTTTTACTTATTACACTAAATTTTTGTTTGATATAATTAATATATAACATTAGAGATGTATACAATTTTTTTATAATTTTTATATTCTTTTTAGGTTGACTTTAAATTTTGTATTACATTTACATCATTGATAAAATTAATTCTTATGTATAATACTTATTTTTGTTCAATGTAATGAATGTATAATATTATAGATGTACCCAATATTTTATTTTTTATAAATATATAACATTAGATATGTGCCCAATATCTAGTTTTTTTTCATTTTTGTGATTGTTTTTATTTTCTATTTTTAAAAATTTTATTATTTCACTATAACATCATTTCATTTTTAGGTTGATTTTAGATTTGACATTCTATTTTCATCATTAATAAAATTACTTCTTATATTTCATACTTATTTTTGTTTAGTATAATGAATATACAATGTTAGAGATATGCTTAATTCTTTTTATTTTTCTATATTTTCTATATTATTTATTTTAATTTTTTTAGTATTAAATTATGACATTGTTGATTAGCCCATTTAACCCAAATGGTTGAATTGTTTACCCACCACCGGAAAGGAAGGAAAATGGTTTTGTTTTCAAATAAATTTTCAAAATATTTATTTTTTTAGTAATAAAATTAATGCTGTGGATTTAATTAGTGGAATTTAATGATGAGAAAAATATATCTTCAATATAGGATTTAATGATAGAATATAACTTGGATATGAGATTTAATGAGAAAGAATATGAAAATAATTTTATTTCAAATTGGTTTTAAATTGTATATTCCATTTCCATCATTAATAAAAATATTTCTTATTTATCATACTTATTATTATTTATCAAATATTTGATTTTAAAATTGTTCCAAAAATTTCTTTAATTTTTATATTTTTTTGCATTTTTATTATTTAACTATGGCAACATGAATTGGCCCATTTGACCCAAAATGGTTTAATTTATTACCACCACCTAGATGAAAACACTATTTTTTCATGTAGATTTTAAAAGTATAAGTTTGTATATTATTGGAATTATCAATTTATTATGTATGAATTTAATTAGTGGAATTTAGTGATGAGAATAAATAAAGATGTTTTAAATATATGATTTAATGAGGGTGAATGAGAGTTAATACCTTAAATGTGTGATTTAATGAGAGGGAATTGAATGCATTGAATAATAGTATTCAAATTACATTTTCTACCCTCGCAATAGAGGGATCATATTTCAGAAAAGAGGGTATTTTAGTCAAAAAAATCCACAAATTTTAGAGGCTATTCCTACTTTTTATAGTAGTATAGATATTTTATTAAGATGAATGAATGAACAACATTAGCAAATAGGGGGTTCTCGGAGCTTCAATGAGCGAGCGAACCGGAGCGGAGTTTGGGGGTGTGGTCGGGGGTCCAAGGGCGGAGCCCCTAGCCCAACCGCTAGGTTCAAAAAAAGCAAAAAGGAGTAAAATTTTCAAAGGGTGCACATTTGGGCTAAGGCGCATCAGGCACATGCCTAGGTGCACCAAGTGTGTGCCTTTTGAAAGTATTGCGCCTAAGACCTGGATGAGGAGCCTACCCTAAAATGTGCCTCACCTGTGTGCCTAGGCACACATTTTAAATCTCTGTCCTAACTCACTTTTGCAGATAGAGCATATACATGCACATGGTTTAGTATGATTCAACCTGGTCAGAATATTTTATAACTAACATTTGACCAAGCACAAATTATAAATGTCATTTTAAGCCACCTAGCATTAACATAACTTGTACTCAACATCCACTGTCATACCTGGCCAATTTATATCCTCAAACAATTTCAATGCCACATACCAATTTTCCCTGATAACAGGGATATAAAACAATGACTTAATGCAAACAAGATAAACTCAACATGCAACTCAACTTAGCCTTAATCCCAACTATTTGGGGTTGGCTACACAAAACCTGTCTGGCCATTATGCCCTATCAAGAGCACTGAAGACAAACAGGATAAATAATAAGTTACGTTTTTAAATTTTCATATGTGTGTGCAAGTAATTATTGTCTTTAAATTTTCATAGTGGTATTATTACATGAACATCGAAGCATGAGTAAATTAACCCACTACTGCATATCACAACAAACTAGCAAGCATATTTCTTAATTTCTACTCTCAACTTAACTAGGCCTTTGTCCCATCTACATTTGTACCAAGTACCAACAATAGGAAATTTCATGTGCTGAGAAAGGATAATAACTTTATGTGCTGGAATTGAACAGATAGTGCTAGAGAGAATGTCAGCATCCTTAAGATGTAGAAAACTTAACACTTAGGGATTGCCAAGTCAGAAAATATCCCATGATGCTATGTCCTCCCAGCACTCTACATTGCACTTTAGCTTATTACTGTGAAGGACAATCTAGGGTAAGGATTTTAGACGCTTTAGTGGCCCTTTACCCCCAAACAAAACCCATGTTGCTTCTATTTTTGCCACGATTTATTCAAGGTTTCTACAGCTTGACAACATCCATTCAATATTTTAACTGGAAAAAAGGGGAAAAACATAGTAGATAAGCAGCTCACAAGTTTTTACCAAAAAATAAATAAAAAAGCAGCACACAAGTTGATCATTCCAATGAAAACTTACAGAGGTCAATGACCTCCAGACAAAATTAAACTACTGCATATGGTGTAATTTATCTACCTTTTACATTGTAGCTAGATTTACCTTTTAAACATGGAAACATTCCGAAAAAGAGGAGCATAAAGCTCTCTATCATTCCTTACAACAGGAGCATTCTGGATCTGTAATTTTGCAGACAAAAGTTCCTTGTCACGTACTGAAGACCATCGTGGCTTCTACAATCAGTGAGAAATATTTAAAAAATCATCCCAGAAAGAAATCACTCATCTACAGACTAATCCAACTGTCATAGTCCAAAGGCATACCAATGAACGAGGAGATGCACGGCTACGGAGCAATAAGTGGTTCATCTCAGCTATTGAAGTCACTGATCTTGGTGGCATCTCAGACCTCACCTTCTTCCTTATAGGCAGTTGGTTATTGTTAAAAGTTAACAAAATAATTGACTCATTACATTTTGCATCCGAGCCTCTAAGACATGTCATGTTAGTTAAAGAAGCTACAGGTGACAATGCAAGCAGAGAGAATGTGGTCCCAGCATCCTTGCTTCTAGTATTCTCCAGTGTCATACTTGTATCTGCTTTCTGCCCTTTATCAAATGAAAAACCACTATCTGGTGTAATAATCTGCTCCAGGGATAGATTGTGTTTTGTTTCTGTAGGTCTGTCTACCAAAGAACCAATGTGTACATCCTTGAAATCCTCCGGCGTAGAATTCTCGTTTACAAATTCCTCAGACAAAATTTCATTCTCGGACTCTATTTCCTCATCTAGTTCAAATGCATTATCTGGATCCCTGTCCTTTTCTGATACAAAATCATCATCCTGGTCTTCAGCTTCTTCATTATACTCAGTCTCTTTCATCGTATTGGAATCATTGGAACTTTTGACCACCCCAAGAATTACAGATGATTCAGTCGAATTTAAAGCATCCACAAGTAGAAAATTACCAGAATTCATGGTTTTAGGAGGAGAATTTCCACTTGAAAAGATGCTTTTTCCAAGTTTTATAACCTTATTATCAGGAGATAAAGACAAAAGAGCATTTCGATATGGAAGCATCAATGACTGAAACAATAAGATAATAATAGCTACAGACCCCATGACAAAAAGCAATCTCCTGGGCTTGAACTGACATAGCTTTTCAAAATGAACTGAACACTCCATAACATTAAGAATAGAACTAGCTACCCAATGAACACTGATCCGCTTGGGAGTTCAGACTTCTACTATCTCATGCAATCCTGGAGATCTGACAAGAGATCCAAAAGTCAGTCAAGACCATATAAAAATCAAAAAGGGAGGTAACAGATTTACATTAGTCAATCAAGAAATACACCTAATTAAACCAAACTCCAGCAATTCAAGCAACGATTTCAACTCTGAGCATGCAAAAGACAGTCCATATTTTTTTTAATTGGAGATAAATGAAGAGAAAAATGTGTCGACAAACGCAACCTCAGCAGTAATTCGGGCTCTTAGAAAGCATGCCAAATATACAATTTCCTACACAATGTAAAAAAGCTGAAATAATAATCTAAGAACTAGACCAAAACTTGATGAAGGATCATCTATCAGATTTCTGAAGGAGTATTGCAGGTGTCAAAAGGACAATGTAGCCTAAGCTAAAGCTAAAGAACATGACACCTCAATTATAACATTGCAATAGTTCAGTGGACAAAGTAATGTTAAAATGGTAAGAGAAGTAACGGTTGGTACCACTGATCAAGAACAAGTGACATTTGGTGCCATGGAAATTCCCATTTTTTTCGACAATAGAATTAAGAACCCAATTAGTAGACCGTTTTAAATTCAGGAAAAAAAAAAACCCGAACTAAGGCTATCAGAAATCCCGGACATTGTAAGAATTCAAGAAACCCAGAGAGATCTAAAATTGATTAACAGGGTAGTAACAATATCAGATACAAAACAACTATCTACCATAGTACATAAAACCTCAATTGAAGCTTTGACATCAGAACAAGCACCAAGCCCCTAGAAGACCAATTCTTCACCCCAAGCAGAGAAATTTACAACTAAAGAGGAAGCAGAGTGCAAGAAAACTGAATAATAAGCGAAATTAGTAAACCAGAGCATCGATATTATGAGCTTCAGCAACCTCGGACACATATCAAATTGTCGAAACTTGAACATACACCAAACCAGAGCGATCTGCAACTCCTCGCTACGAAACTAAGAGTTCGAGCTACATGAAAAGAAGTGGAACAGAATTAATCTTCTCAAAAACTTCTCAAGAACCACCCGTCTACTTTTTACCTAGTAGAACTGCCCGTCCTCTGTTGAACTTGTTAAGATACTTAGGCATTTGAAAACCCTAACTGTTTCAGGCATCTAGCTTGCTTGAATGGGAGTAGCTGAAGAAATCAAATTTAAAAGGAAAAATCTTGTAATTAGAATCTACATTGATTATAGTATTAATAAACTATGGAAGGCGACAATGATTCTTGTTTTTTATTTTTTATTTTGTCAATTTCGAGGTTTCTTTTTTGTTTCCTTCGTAAATGTTTACACTTTCCACCAATCGTCATTATCAATTTTGAATTTACATGAGCAGAACCCACTTTTTGATAATGGCACACCTCATTAAACATTAATTAATAGCCTTGAAGTGCTTAGATTTCAGTTCGCATGGTAATAACTAATTACTGCTCCCAGACACCAGCCTCTCTCCATCTTCTCTCAAGTCTCAAGTCTCAACCTCAGTAGAGGGCGGCAGCCGGCAGCCGGCAAGGACTCAACTGACGATCGACGGACAGAGCTCATAAAATACCTTCCAGAATGGATTTGTGCGCCCATCGTTTTTCGGAACTACTGCTGTATCTTATTTGAGACGGGCTGGTCTCCCCGCTCCCGTTCCCCATAGAGCGCGCCCCACAGCCCATTCCTCCCGAAACAGGAACAGGATCTGCTCTTTGCACTTGGGCGCCTCACGTGTATATCCACCGTGTATTGGGAACATCTCTCATAAAAAATAACTTAATACGGAGAAATATTCTCAATGCATGATAAGATATACGTGTGAGGCGCCCTAGAGCAGATTCGGTCTCCCCAAAACATCTTCCTACAGGCGCTGGCTTTCGGGTTAAACGGTAAATGCGGGATGATTTTGAGTCAGGCATATTCAGTTGTAGGTCAGAATAGAGTTTTGATTATTTTATTCGAATCAATTTTGGGTTTTGATTGACCCGGCAGCTGGGTAATGAATCTAAGGATACCATTACATAGTTTTTTTTTTTTAATCTTTTTCTGAGCATTTACATGTATGAATAATATTTTTTGTAATTTTTTTGACTTCTAATTCCATAACCTTAAAAGTTTAGAATTTTTTATATGTTGATTTTGGTTTTTTAATGGAAAATGTGACAAACTTACACCTTATAATCTATAAAACAAGTTCCTGAGGCTGTGTTTGGTTGCAGCACAATTTTATTTGTACTAATATAAATGCATGGAAGTGCATATGAAAAAATGCAAATTCTTGTTTAATTTTGTTTTGAGTTTTACTTATTCTGCTTTGTATCTTAATTTATTACATTTGTACTACAGTCAAAGAAAATATGTTAAAATTAAAAACAAAAATAAATCAAAATTTACACTCGGATCATTTGCATTGTCATGGTTTTGTATTAGTGCAAATTTATTTACATTGCAATCAAACACAGCCTAAGGTTTAATTTGAAAGAAATACAAATACAAATATATACAGTACAAATACAATCAAAATAATACAAAATGTAAGGTTTTGCACTCCACATATTTGTATTTGCATTCCTTCCAAATTAAACCTAACTTAAATTAATAGAGTTTATGTTTTCAAAATGTATTAAAAAATATAATTGAAATACTATAGATAGGATGAGTATTGGGGGTGGACCCTATAGGGTCGGGTTGGGGTTTGACACTAGGGGTTGGGTTAGGATTGAGGCAAATCCCATGCTGTACCCGACCCATTGACATCCCTACCCACTGCCCATTTTATTTTGCATATTGGACGAGTCCAGTTGTTATATTCAGGACAGAATTAAGGCCACCATGTTTGTAATGTACTGATACAAATCATGTATTGGGATAGATTTTGTTGTGAACATATCCCATTCCTAAATTCTAAGCCAATGTCTTTAACGAGTCAGAATCTCCTACCAACACAAATCCCTTCTAACATCATTTATATCACCCCATCATCTGTGGGATCCACCACAAGACAGCGACCTATGATGCATATGATGTGCGGGCACAAATCATGTTGGAATGCATTGAAAGGGTTTTTGTTGGTGGAAGATCAAGGTTTCTACAGTTCTGTTATTTACCCTTCTTTTAAGAAGTCTAGGAATGTGAAAAGGAGAAGGTGCAAGTGCTACAGGAAAAGGGTGAGGATTGAAGTGGATCTGGGTGATCACCAAATTCGTGAGATCTGATAAACTAGAAGTTGGATTGAAAATGCGGAATTTAGTGAGTATATTTTTGCTCTGCCTTCCGTTCCTGGGATACGAGCTACGATCGGTTATGGTGGCCGAACAAGAGGTTTCTTCCTTAGAGGTTGCAGTGATTTCGAAGGAATCCAATTTTTCCTGCAATGCTGCTTGGCCTGGTCAAATAAGTTGGGATGGAGGTGTTGAGGCGGAGGGAGATGGTGCTCAAGGTATGGAAGTGGGGAGGTGGTGAAGCAAGCAACATGAATATTAAAAAAAAATATAATAGAAGTTAGAAAATTGTTGGGCTTGGGCTTTCAATCTAGGCCCAGGGTGCGGGCCAGGCTGGGCTCTGGCCTAGCTTCGAACTCTTATTATTGGTTTGGTGCTAAACCCGGCCCATGATCAACCCCCAAGGGAGAGAATGTTTAGAAGCCAAAAACATGGCTTTAGTGGCTTATCCAAAGCGGTTCAAAGCCCGTTTGGAAGGGCTTCTGGGTTCAGACTGAGCCGCCACGGGGAAGCGGGGATGAGCGGCGATGGTTGAGTCGCGTGTCATGCGTGCCCATCTCGAAAGTCGAAACGCGAGAAGCTGCTATGCGAAAGCCATCCCAGCCCGAGTTGTTAGAGTTTGGACTTGGGCGTAATTTGGAGTTTGAACGAGTTTTATTAATCGTCTGGGTGACTGGGTCATTTGCGAGATCGGCTTCAGTCAGTGCTAGGCCCGTTCGAATAGCCCTTGCGCAGCCTTTCATGGGGAGATATTCCCAATGCAAGGCTATAATGGGTGTTCGAACGACGTTTGCACTGACTGAATCCGGTTTCGTCATATGCATAACTGTGCTGATCATCCAGCAAAATCAAAACCATAGTCACAGAAACTGACTGAGCAACGATGAGCGCAGGTAAAGTCATAACTCATTTGACCTCCTCCTCCTCTTAACCCTCCGTCAATTGTTTTGCTTTGGTTTGATTAAAGAGGAAAAAGGCTAAAAAAAGAGAACAAGATCTGTGGCGATGATAGTAGTAGCTCAATCCTTTAGTATTAATTCGAAATTTGGATCAAAGATGATGGTGGCCTATTATCGTTCTTTAACCAGAAACATAATAGGAATTAGGGTTTTCAGGACATCGATTTCATTCTATCTTTTGTGCCTGTCATGAAAAATTCAGGGGTTTCCGAACATTACAATGGAGTATTTCTCCACTAGCAATACAGAAATTGATCATAAATCTGAGTATGTTTGCGTCATGGACTATGGAGCTAGAGGAAGAGGAAGAACTGAAATAGTTATTCTTGCTTCGATGCTCTTATTTTCCTGAAATAATTTTATTGATGTGTTGACAGGTGGTGCATTTGGCGGGAACAGGGGATTGAGACCTGTACCCCCAGAAAAGGGTGTGTTCCCTCTGGATCACATGCACGAATGTGACTTGGTATGATTACATATTTTCTTCCGGGTTTTCGTTAAAATCCAATTCATACTCTTTTTTTTTTCCTCAATTGGATTTTGGCTCTTCGTTTCGATTTAGTTCTGAGTCCAATGAATAATGTCGTAGTGGGTTGATGTTCTGGAGTTTGGTTTCATGGTGACTTAATTTACAAGTTTATTATGGTTCAGGAGAAGAAAGAATATGTAAATTGTCTCAAATCTGCTGGCTATCAATCCGAAAGATGTAGAGGCTTTTCAAAGAAGTACCTGGAATGTCGTATGCAGAGGTAAGTTAGTTGCGCTGTAGTTATGTGATGTTTGTATGCTACAAGGTTCTGAGGAAGTTACATTATGCTTACATAGATGAGGATCTTGTACTCTGGTTCTATATATCCAGATTTCTCCCAACAAAACATTGACTTTTGGAACCATGGTGGATATGATAGTATTTTAAGAAGAAAAAGGGCTGTAGGCCATATTTCTATTGGATGAATATTACATTTCTTTAAATTCACTACCATCTAGCAAGGAAATATAATGAATATCCGATTTCTTGTAAACCTGCTACTAGAACAAAAGGAGTGCTTGAATGGGGTTAACAAACCTATTCATTAGGTCTTGTCATTTTCATATCTTGTTGTATTGGGGGGATCTAGTATCACTTTTTTTTTTATGGAATTGAAAGTAAACTTTACAGTGCTTTGATAGTAACCTAATTTATTTTTTGGAAATTAAATTTCTCAATTTTGTAGTAGAAAGCAAAAGATCTTGACTTTGCAAGTTTGGCCTTTTTGTTAGACATCTATTCTTGATGTGAATTAGAAGGTTAATAAATCATTAAATCATGTTTGTGATGTCTTGACAAGATCTTTTCAGCTTTGGTTCAGGTTGTGTTGGTTTACCATAACAATACTTTGGTTATTAGAAAGGAAAGTACCTAGGCCTAGAGGTTTATCCTTTCTAGGTATTTGGTCTTGATGTCAACTATCATTTCAAGAAATCATGTTTTAAACTTGTGATATCTGGACAAGATCTTTTCAACTTTGGGTTGGGCCATACCGAAGGAATTATAACAACAATGTGGTGTCCTGCATTATTTTTTGAGAAAAAAGTAAACTTTATTCAAAAGGAGAGGTACATGAGGCAATGTACATGACAGATAAAACTCTCAGAAAATTACGAAGGCATAGAGCTATCACTAAAGAGAAAATCCCTGTGAGCACCAGATTTAGCTAGACTATCAGCTTCAGAGTTTAGCTCCCTCGGAATCCAGACCACCTGGGAACTTAAAGAAGCAAGAATGTCTCTTGCTTCAGCTAGGTAGTGAGCTAAGGCCTAAGGCCCACTGTCAGGACTAGAAAGCCAGTTGATGGTGTTGGCTGAATCTCCTTTAATGGTAAGATTTCGTAAGCCCATGTCTTTTGCAATCCTGATGCCGGTTAGAGCTGCCAAGACTTCTGCCTTTGTTGAGGAGGCAATTCCAATCGGCCCACTAAAAGCCCAACTGATACCATCTCTATTTTGAATTACACCTCCAATCCCATGCAGTGTTATCAAAGCACTGACTAGTTAACGCCTAGTCAAGCAATTACTCAATTGTAGAACATACCAACTGCATCAGTAACCAGCCAATACCCATGATGTGGTCTCCTAGGACAACTAAGTATTTTTTATTTGGTTAACTAATGATTAGTTTGCTTAGTTGACAAAAAAAAAAATGAATGCACAAAGTAAAAAAAGGAACAGTCAAGTAGCTATTTTAGGTCTTATTCTGATCAATAGTTTGCTGGTACGGAGTTGTCATTTACAAGGGAATGAGGGAACCATATCAGGAACAAATACTATTTCTCCCTACTGAGATTTTGATCAATAGACTGTTAATGCTCTATATCATATCTTTTATTGAATGCTTGCAGTCTTTATTAAATTATTTATGAGATTTCATTATTAAATATGTTTATATATTTGAGCAGTGAGACTGAATCATTATTTTGTGGTTGACTAGTTAGCACTGAAAGCACCAATGAGGCAACGAGTCACTACACTGCATAAGGAGGCCATAACAACTAGATATCTTATTTATCAAAAAAAAAAAAAAAAAACTAGATATCACATCACCACATTGGCAACACCTTATGGTTGACCTTTCTGTGCAACTAAAGAATTAGCATAAGTGTTTGTCTCTCCGAGGTTTAGTCCCGTGGCTTAGTTCCAGTTCTGGAACATTGCATGTCAAGTGTGTGCATCTTATAGCCAAGCCTTGTGTACAAGTGCAAAGTTAGAAGTTTATAACTATTTGAATGTCTTTCTCCAAGAAATTTAGTCTTATCATCTCATTATAATGATGGAAAAGTCGCAAACCAATGCCTGAATATTATAGGGGATAATTTGGACTGGGAGCACTTCCAATAGAAAATTTTGAAAAGCAGATTGCTTACTGAGGACTAAAATGCTGTAACTGTATTATTGAAAAATTTGTTACTCAGTGTTTCATATAAAAAATCAGCAAATCCTCAGTCAATTGTTTTGCTATACCATGTTCTTTTCGGTAATAATTTTGTTTTATTCAAAGTTTACACTATTAACCATGTTCCTTATGGAAAACAGCAAGGCAGTGAAATCTATTCAACAGTCAAAACCTTACCAATGATGCATGGATCTCCAATTACTAGTTTACACTATTTTATAACAAGAAGAAGCTTGACTAGTTCAATTTTCTTTATTGGATCTTTAGTATGGGTTTTATGGTATACTAAAAGTTGGCATTAGTGTAGTTTGTGGAAATTATTCAGAAATGAGAATATTCGTCTCCTAGATTGCAAATCTATTTCTGTCAGATTAGCATTGTCAGCCGTTTTTAGTGGCCACCAAATAACTGATTAAAAGTTTACTCTGGAGATGCATTTTTTTCCTTTTTATTCCAAAGTATTATTGTTTTAAGCATGGTTCCTCCATCAATGAGAAGTACAAGCTTATATGATAATAAGTTCCTCATATCCCCACAAATCTCTGTAAGAAGAAAATTTTTTTATTGGTAAAAGAAGAATAGAGCATTATTAGAGCTTTTGTCACAAAGTTTGGAACAGAGAAAGGACCTGAATTGTTCTAAATTCTTTTCCCTTTTATGCTCAACTTCTCAATATCTCTTACGAGAAAACTCTCTTACATAAGTTGTCTCTTTGAGCTTCTAGGAACTTGATGGCAAAGCAAGACTTGTCAGAGCTTGGATTTGGCAAGGAATTTGACGTGGAAGCTTCTGAACAGAGTAATGATAAGGCTGATTTGGGAGATAAGACCATTGCTAGTTGAAGGTGAATAACTTGTTGGTTAGAAACTTAGAACAATTGGATTCTGGAATTTTCCTTTGATCCAGATTCATGTTCTTTGTCTCCAGGAACAAAAAAAAAACACTCAAACGTACAGAGCTACAATGAAGCAGTGTAAGGTTTATTTATATAGTTATATTAGAATGAATGAAGATAAACCATGAAAGCTAATATGTAGTGAACATTTGTATATTTATACTGTCTTTCAATAAATCGAGCAAGTTTACTAGATGGTAAGAAAGTGGCCTGGAATTAAAAAGAAAAAGAAAAAAAAAAAAGATAGGGAAACTATTTCCTGCATGTCACATCTAACCCCACCCATTCAAGTGCAAATTTCTATCATTCTATTCAATGTCTTCAAGCTGAGTTGATCACATTTCTAAACCTAGTTCCTATTTTTTCATCCTTGGTTTACAGAAGGAATGATCACCCCTTGGACAGTTTGCTAGCAGCACTGCAGCAATATTGGTGTTTGCAGTGCAGATGGGACTTGGGAGTAATGAAACTTAAAATGACTTTTTGAATGGCATCTTATCTTGTTTACACTTGTTTTTTTGGGTCAAGATTTCGTCCTGACATATGGCAAATCCCCCTTCCCCACAGAGTTTGTGAAAATTGCCATCAAACCAGTTTTATAATAGGAATTGTATCAAAATAGGGAAGGTAAACCATTTAGCAAATCTTCCTACCCTGAAAAAACTGTAGCATACGGTTCTGAGTAGATTCTATCATTGTAACAGTCTGGTTACATATTGGAAGTCATAAGGACAAATGTTCCCCTTCCAATAAGAGCTTGTATTACTTTTTTCTAACAAAGCAAAGAAATTTTATTGACACAGGTGTCTGAAATACAGGTGGCAGGACTTCAGTCCTGACACTTTTTTATTCCAAGTTCACGGCAAATGTAGATTATGTGCAGTAATGAAGTAGTAGTTTCCATGTAGTGACAAATGATCATTTGGATTCTTTAAAAAGGCAAATGGTTATTTGTATTATGCAATCTACGCTATGCCCACTGACTTCAGTGACTCAGTGTTCTTCTAATTCTCCAGACCCCCCTCCCCTCTCTATAAATTTATTATGTTTCTTTTTGCTTTTAATTACCATGTAGCAACTTGTTTTGGAATCCAAAGCAAAGTTTTGGTCTAGACGATTTCGGTGTTTCTAATAAAAATAAAAAATGAAAGTTTGGGCCGCGGTTGACGTATCTGCTGGATGGTCTGGATTGGCTACAGATTTTCTCTACATGGCAGAAATAGGTGGAGTGGTATAGTGAGGTATCCATGAATCCATGTCCATTCCGACCGGGGCGTAAGAATTAATATCTCCAATTCTCCACCAAAAGGATAACACGAACTCTTCCTAGCGGTACAAATTAGGCTTCATTTAGGCTTAGGCAGAGGTTTGAACAATCACTAAATAGTAAATTCTAAAACTCATCTTCCTGACTTGTCCAATAGCCAAGGTTGTATGGACATAAATCCCATCGATTAGCAATATATGGGCTTGTTATTTAGTTGTAGCTGTCTGCCTGTCTATTTAGATGATGGTTTTATTTTATATTTTTTGGTTTCATGAAAGAATATTGTCAGTAAGAACACATTCAGCATGTTGACCAGAGGCCACACTCAAATATGTTAAATTTGTTGATTTATTTTATGCGCATAAGATGCTTATCTAGCTGCAAATAGTAAACGCTTTCCCTGTTCCATTGCCGATTTGCTGCAGAAACCCCTGCCTTAAACTCCTTGAGGATCACTGGCGCCTCACATTTCAAAATGAGAAGCTTGGGTTTGGGTTTGGGTTTGAGCCCCTTCTTAAAACATTCAATTCAATTGAAGTGCAGTAGTCTTGTTTTGGAAATTCACAGATTGATACTTGCATTAAAACTAAAAGATAACTAAGCATCCATCTGAGAAATAATTTGTCATATTAATTCTAATCTACCCATTGAATTAAAAAAGCATTAATAAATACTAATCTAACGGACCTTTTCTCTTTTTACAATTTTTTTTTTGTGTGGATCTTTTAAGCAGCTATTATACTGAATTCTCATCACTGGGTCTACCAATAATGTTCTTCCAGAACATGGTTCTGGAACAGTAAACTTACCTCTTCTATCGGAACTTGCTTCGTTTCTGGCAGAAGCAAGTAAACGAAGCAGCTCATGATGAAAATCAAGCACACGAACAGCAAGAATATACCATATCGGAGGTGGCAGAGAGCTACAAGGAAACACTGGGCAACCAAAGCAGTGAAGAAGAGGTTAACACAGACAACCATACTCTGTCCAGCTGATCTTGTCTCCAGCGAGAAAAGCTCGCTTGGAACTAGCCACCCGAGAGGACCCCATGACCACCCATAAGCCAATACAAACAAACAAACCATGATCACAACGATGATGGCATCTATTTTTGGGAGGGCTTCTCCATGTCCAAACTTCAGTGCTAGAATAATTGCCGCGACCAGCTGCACAGAAATTCCCAATCGGTTCAACGTTTCGTCATAAATTCATTGAGTATGGGGTTTCCGTTTCACAAGGTGAAGGGGAGGAAATGGTAAAATGCAATTACCATGGAGACCATCATTTGGACACCAGCTTCCAAGAAGAGAAACCTCCTGCCACGCCTATCAACCTGGTGCATTGAGACAAAGGTTGCAATAACAAGCGCTCCACTGGTTATCATGGATGAATACAAAGCTGTGCCTGACCCCATACCCAAGCTCTGGAAGATCACAGGAGCATAGAAGAGTATTGAATTCATGCCGGTAAGCTGCTGGAAGGCTGGGATGCCAAAGGCTCCTATCACCAGTTGTGGGCGGTTCTTTCTCTGGAGAAGGTTTCTGAAGGGGTGTTCTATGGCCCGTGCTGCTTCACTTGCATCTTTAAGATCCTCGAACTCTGCATCTACATTAGAGGTGCCTCTAATTCTTTCTAAATTTCTTCTTCCTTCATCTAATCGCCCTTGTTCTACAAGGCTGTTTGGAGTCTCGGGAAGGAAAATGCCCCCAATGAACATTAGAATTGCTGGGACAGTAGCTAGACCAAGAGAGAGTCTCCACCCCCATGGATGGAGTTTGTCAGTGAAGTAGTTTATGACATTTGCTACAAAAATTCCTAGGCAGGTAGTTAATTGAAATAGTTGGTTAACTGCTCCACGGATACTTGGAGGTGCCGTTTCTGAAAGGTAAAGAGGAACTGCCTGAGAGAGAGAGGTGAAACAAAAGCTGATTCAAGTTTCTGCACCATATCAAGTGAACCCTAGCACTAAGAAATATATATGTTTCTGTGCACTCACCTGGTTGCCAAATCCAATGCCTACACCAAGCATAATTCGGCCTATTATGAGCATTGAAATATGGACAGCAAATGCATTCAAGACCGCACCAATGAAGAAGCTCACCGAGCCGAAGAGGATGCTTACTGTCCTCCCTTTAGCTCTGGTCATCCATGAGGCTCCAAAGGTTGAAATAAGGCCAGCGAAGTAGAGAGAGGATGTAAAGAGTGTCAGAATCTGGTTGTCATATTTACAATAATTTGTCTCCTTGAGATGTTCTTGCTTCCTTTTGTACACTTTTGGGAAGAAATCCTTCAAGAAATCATCCATGGAAGTCACTCCACTTGAATCAATTCATTTCAATGTGGAACATTACATACCAAAGCTCAGAGTATCAGAAATGCAAAGAGTATTGAAAAAGGCATTTTTAAGAGATATTGCCACACACTTAGGCATTTTCTTTTGATTGATACAATCTTACTTTACCTCTTAAAAAAAACATATCAATAATATGCACTATATATAAGTTTTAGACGATTATAAATAACCTATATATGCAAAAAAGTGTGAATTATCAGGACACACCGGTAAACAATGTAATGTCATGAACTAAAATTATATATTCTTGTATATGAGTCTAATAATCAATGCTCAAAAAAAAAAAAAGAAACAGTATAACTTGTGCTAATATTTAAATGTAGAAATTTTATTTGATCAATTTTTAACATTTAATGACAAACATCCACTAAGAGAAAATGTTTAGAAGTTAAAGATTCAAAATACATGTGACTATATAACAAGTGATTATTAGAGCATGGTGTAGTGGTAGGTTTGTTCTCTTTCAACTAGGGGTGAGCAAAAAAACCGAACCAACCGATTTGGTTCGGTGTTTTTAAAAAATCGAAGGTACCTGTTTGGTTTAGGTTAACCAGTATTAAAAAAGACATATTTATTAATTTATATTTTTTATATATTATAAATTAATAAATATGCATTATATATAAATATATATTATTTATTATTTAAAATATAATATTATATATATTTATAATTTTTTAGTATATATTTATATATATATTTTTTATAATTTATATTGTAAAATATAAAAAACAGAAAAACCAACGAACTAAACCGACGGTTAACCAAACCAGTCAACCGATTAATCGATAGATTTGGTTTGGTTTTGGTTATTGGTTTTCCAAAAACTGATACTACCAGTTCAGTTACAAAAATTGTCACATGGTTCAGTTAACTGAGCACCCTTATTTTCAACCTAAAACCTAAGGTTGAGATATTTTTACTTTTAGTTTTTATACCAAACAAATTATGGATTTTGAATCTTTTGATAATCAGGGGAATTTAATGGTGTGTGAGAAAGTCAATTAGACAAATTTGAATTTGAATAGTTGCCTTAATCATACGAGTCAATGCGAGAGTATATGAAAGAACGTGAGGAGAAAGAGAACTAAAAAGATCAATTGATATGTTCACAATATAAGGAAAAACATATATACCTGAAACACCAAGATCATATCCGAAAAGAGAACCTCCAATTGCAGCAATGATACAAGCATAAACAAAAGCTTTGGTAATTTTGTACTCATACAACTGAGCCCTTTTTGCAGACCCTGGGCCAACAAATGCACCTCCTGCCATTACCAGATTCCTTGAAGTTTCTGTTAGAAGCTTCCCCTCAGATTTGTTTAGTTTGATGGGTAATGATTCTTATTTGCAGAGAAGAGAAGAGAAGATGGCAGAAAGCCAGCAACCAACAAGATAAATATATGGCCAGTGAGTGCTCAACCCAAAGGAGAAAGAAACAAAAATTCGATGAGCAGGTACAAGAAAACTGTATATCAAATTTGACAGAGTGAAAGTGATGGATAAAAAAGAAACAAAGATGGAACACTTAAAATATGCAGACAATATCTCAAACAGCAGAAGACTCGCCAGAGTAACCGAAGGAGAAACTTGGTGGGAAAACAAGGAGAGGATTTACATCTAATAATAAAAAAATTCTATTTCAGGTATCTTGGAGGTTGGAACTAGCTAACCATGCATACTTTAAATAGTCAAATTTGACAGTCCGAATTTAAAAGCTTAAACCTTATCTCTATTGAACTTTAATAACTATTAGGCTCCATTCATTTACCGGTAAATGTGGGATCCAAGTAAAACAACTTTATCTTAGGTAGTAAATCTTTTGGCAACCTACCCAAAAAGTCTTATGTTGCCAAAATTTAATGAGACAAAAATGTCCATTAAACAAAAATGCACAAGGATAAAAATGCACAAGTAAATGCATTTATCTGGGTGATAAGTGATTTACCTGAAAAAGAACGGAACTTTACCTCTATCTTTCCATTGTTTTCTTAGTTTTTATTATAAACTTGCCCCTCGAATACTCAGTTCATTAAGTCTGGTTAGTTGTTCTGAACTTGGCCCTAGAAGTATCAATCAGGAAATATAAGTTATTATGCTTTTAAAATCCCATACTCACCTTGAATCTGTCTTTTTCCTGGGGAGGGGAAATTGTAGGTTGGTTAGGGACAGATTAATGGGCTATTTATGTATGTCTTAATTGAATGTTATTATGCAGATTAAAAAAAAAAAATGAAAGGGCACTAGTTTTAGCGCATAGACTGGCTACCAGTCCATTAATTATTGGCATAGAAAGGTAATTTACCAATTTTAAAACCTAACAAATAAGGGGTTCAAATCAAATGTATTCTCGATCAGTTCTGTTTGGTAAGTTTGCATCGCCACAGACACCACTCGGTGAGGCTTAAGAGGGTTGTTCTGATAGATCAAAAGGCCCTTGTGAAGAAATCGTTGTTTGTATGTTTTCATTTTTTTTCCTAATTCTTTTAATAGAGAGTGATGATAAAAAGAAAGAAAAGCTTCTTTTTGCCTTACCACCTTTGCATGTAAAGAGAGATAAACGTGCACGTATAGCTGATCAAGAGTCTGGATCTGCTTTGACATCTTTGCAGCTGGGTATTGGCCGTTAATCCAATCTTAGTCCAACATCTGCCCCCATTACGTAGGTTGGCAGTTGGCTGAGGCCCAAATCTTGCCACCTGTCGCATCCTCAAGTCATAATTAGGACCCACGTGTATGAAGCTGACATGGTCGACCCAGTACTTCAACAGCTTTTTAGGGGATCGAGCAACCTCACCAGGCAATAATGGACTCGATTCTGCAAACATCATTCGAACAAACATGTACTAGCTAGGAAGAGTCCAGAAAGCAGAGCTTCGAAAAGAATCAAGTTTTGGCAGGAACCAATTTGTAGGGAGAAAGTTTGAGAGAGGTTCCACCTTCTTCTGCCTCAACGGATTTTCTTTGATCACTTGGCTTTTATTCGCCCATCTCTGGTATACTCTTCTCTTCAGTCTTCATCTCTGCTTCAATGCCCACTCTTTCACCTCCTCATTTCTCCATTGCCCGGCCCCACTTTTTTTTACCAGTCCTTTGGTTCAGCTTGTAACGTTTGTGCCTTTTTCTTCTTCTTAGAATAATATATATTTAATATGAAGCCTAAGTACTTCTTTCTTCAACTCTACTTGAATCAGCTACTACTGTGCTCTGTCATGATTCCAAACTCTAGTATCTAGTCCTACACTTGAATGATTCATTTTATGTGCATTTCGTATGATATGATTCTTTTTTCTAACTTAATTAATCTCTTATCATCTTATCCTGACAATTAATCAGTTTATGAGTGATGCTGGAGCTGATGACTGATATATATTTCTGAGTTCTTTGTTTTTTTTTTTTTTTCCATTTCTAACTCTAAAAACTCTCTTCTCTTTTACTTCTGTTTCAAGTTCATATTTTTTCTAATTAATCAATGTGTGTGGATGCTACCGTGACTTGGTCATTCTTACTGTAAAATATGTTTGGCTCAATAATGGGTCACCTCCTACTTGAAGAATTAATTTCTCATTATTTCTGCAGATAGCACGCTGATTTGTCTCATTTTTCATGTAAGAGCTTCTATATTCTATTTGCCTTGTTTGGTTTGATTTTGTCAATGCTATGTTCAGCATATGGATAATATGTGAACATTTGTTTGCTTTTTTTCCCCTCTTTTCCCGACAAAAACTGCTGGCTTAGTGAAGTTGAGATGTTTTTGTTTACTTAATTTTTCCCTTGTGGCCAAATAATTCGGAGAGATGTTTTTGCCTTAGTGAAGCTAATAATTGTGCACTGGAGTATAATGGAGTAAATTGCCTTGCTGGGTTTATTGCATTAATCTGCCAGGAGATTTTCCCTTGTAATATTCAGCCCCAAGAATTGGCCAGAACCAGAAGCGGTTCTGAGCTTTCTGAGGCATGAATCGGTATCAGTGTACATAAATGGCTTAAACATACTGCTTACCAGGTATGCACATCACATGTTTATCTTAAAGCACAAATTTAACTTCATGTTCTGTCTGTCGCTAACTAGGAAATGCAGCAGCAAGCAGCTAATTGTTAGGAATAATAACTGTTGTATATAACACAGCCATGTTAATTTCTACAAATTGTTGTAGACTTGTAGTGAAAAACCATAACACCAAAAAAAAGCAGAAGTATGATCTTTATTTTATGAATAAAAAACTGGGTATTTAATTGATTTTCTCTTCTGTTCTTTTATTTTTTAGCCTTAAGTTGAAACATATACTAAGCTTTCAAAAATAATCCAAATTAGGCTTGCAGACCGCAGTACATGATTTGCTCAAAGTAATGGTAGTTGGTAGATGCAAGGTTCTTGCATCTTGGTTGATGTGATTTGTCGCTGGGAAATGTCAGTATGGTTGAACTTTTAATTAAATGAAACTTCCGCGAACAATGTGAAATATGCATGCTTGGTTGACTAGATTGCGTATTGTGTCATCTTATTTTTCCTTCACTTGCTTCAGCATTTCCCCAGTTGGATGGCAAAGATCGAAAATTGGTGAAATGGTTTCAGGATCATACACTTCTTTTTATTGAAAGTGGTATGCAGAATCCAGAAGTTTTGTGGAATCTTCTTTTTCTTTAAATTTGTCTATTTTCTTTGTTACGATTCACCCTGTAACTAGTCACAATGCCTTTGCCCATGCTGACTGAGGATACACAACAATCATTCTCAATTCTACTTAATCATGTGTTGGATGCATCTCTTTCCTGTCTCTGGGCATTTGACAGAACTAAGCAAAGGACAATATTACCCAGAGATGTTGCTGTAAAAATTCTGGCTACAAATTGCTGTATTGCAGCGAGGAAGTTGGGTGCAGGCGTATCTCTTGCCTAGTGTTTATGGTGTCCCTTCAAGATTGATGTTGGAGCTCATGAATTTATTACAAGTTCTTCATCCAATAGATAAATCGCATAGTACAGCGTCTGAGGCAGGATTAAAGCAAGGGTTCCTTTTGCCCATCTTGGTTCAAAGGCTCCGAACAACAGCGGAAATCAATATCTAGGATTCTGAATTAATTTGGTTCAGAGAGAGAGCTTATGCTAAGTTCGGAAGGAATAGGAGTACAAATACAAATATGTACAGTACAAATACATATAAAACAATACAGAGTACCAAGTTTTGCGCTCTACATATTTGTATTTGTACTTCCAAACTGAGTCTGCCCAACCCAAGGTCAGCTTTAGCAGAGCTCAGCCTGTTTTCTTCATTTTCCCATATACAATGGCAACTGGGAACCCTCCATTTTCCATTATCAGCATTGGCCCGGGTAATCAGGGCTCAGTAGCAGCAGTATGCGACCGGGACCAGTTCAGTCAGTACACTTGAGGAACGAGGAAAAACTTCGTCATTTCTGTCATTGCTTCTACAAGAAAACTCAGCCTAACATGCCTACTAAAGAAGAGAGCAGAAATGCAATCAATACATGCACAACGGAATCCAAAAAATTGACGAAGCCAACTGCATATCTTCAACCGTGTTTCTGTCTTATGGATTATGATACATCTCCGACCATTTCTCTCCACCCTCTCTTCTCCCCTGCACATCTCTTTTCTCCTGCCTCTTTTTTAAATAACTCAAGTCTCCAACCACATAAGGGCACTATAACATCCTACATTACCGATTAATTCGAGGCAAAGAGATTTGATTATTGCAAAAGAATATATTGACTAACTTTGTTGAAATAAAATAATTTGCTTCAATCTGCACTTAGCAAGTAGGTCGTCATGAAGTAGAAAGCTGTTCATCCACAAGCATTAGTTGCATAGAGCTTCAAATCACCTTCTTCGGATCACGGGCTGCAGCTAAATGGTCCTGCAAGATAAATGGCGTCTTAATGTAAAAATATCCATTAACCACTCTTACTATGTGCATATTTCTTTTCTTTTTTTTTTTTGAAAAAATCCCATGTCACCTGAAAGATCATATTCTTTTTAACACTCCACACAGAAGGCACCCGGTGAAACCCTCAGTCAATAATTTTAATCATTTAAGAAGGTCTTAAGGCCTAATCATACACTATACTTTTCAAAGGAGGGGGTAAAAAGATGTGAAAAAATTATATGATAAGAGGAAAGTACCAACAGTTTTGATTCAAGACAGTGGTTAAGCTTCATATATGAAGCTTCTGAACCACACAACTGGCTAATTAAGTAAACAAAAATGAATTTATTCTTTTGTCAAGTATTATATAAGTAAGATTCATAACAACATTATAAAATCAATATTTTATTGTGATTTTTAAAAGATTTTCAGTAAAAGAATAATTGACACTAACAAGTCTTCTGGAAAATGAAGTGTTCGAGCAAACAATCTGAAATAGTCTCTGATCTAGTCATTGTTCCCTAGCATAATATATAATATAATTAACATGCATAACCACGTTATAAAACTAATATTTCATTGTGATTTTTAAAAGAATTCCAGTAAAAGAAGAATTGACATTAGGCATCCAAGTCTTCTGGAAAATGAGGAGTTTGGGCAAACAATCTGAAAAGTCCCTTTATCTTTTAGTTCTTATTCCCTGGCATAATATCAGAAGTTTCCATTTTGAGGAAAAAAAATGTATCCAAACAAGGGATATATCCATCTTACCGAGATAAAATCGAAGGCTTTTGTCTCCTCTCTCTTTGAGCTGTTAATCATTGGATTTGAAACTTGAACTGGAACATTTGGATGGAAAATGTCAGGGAGTGGGGATGCATATGCTCCTTCCCTACTGTTACCAGCAGAATGTCCTAGACCAGCATTTCCTTGAGAATTTAGATGGCCAAGGTGTTGGAAGTTAGACATTGTTGCTAGTAGTTGTTGTTGTTGAGCAAGATAATTTCCCATTGCAGCATGGTTCATTGACTGTGAAGCAAAAGCTGGATTGTAGACAACGTTAGGAGATAAGTTGTACATAGAACCTAATGAACGCATAGCACTTTGGTTCATCCCAACTGTCTGCAAATTAAATATTCCATTCAAAGGATCATTTGGTGTTGAATGACTTGGTTGAATGCTGGGGTTTGGGAGGGCTGCTGCTTCAGGAAACACCCCAGAGAAATTTCCTTGTTGCTTAGTCTCTGAGGTCTTGCCATTGATGGACAAATCAGACATTAAATCATCCGAATTTTTTCTATCATTCTTGTTTTCTGGAAGAAGTTGGTCAGAAATGGGACCAAAAATATCCAACAATGGTGCTCCATTTTTATTTGCTGGCACATGGACCTCAGCAGCTGCCTGCTTATCATCAACTGCCAAACCCGAAAATAGGTCATTGACATGTTCTTGATCCTCAGTAGTGTGAAAGGAGACGTCTGCAAATGGATCTTCTTCATTATTTTGTCCATTAGTGCCTGCCTCAGCATCCAAACTATCTCCAAGCAGATCAACAATTGTAGGGGTGGCAGATTTCATCAAATCTACAACACTCTGATCACTTTGCTTCTGGGTAGAATCTTCCTTCCCATAATAATCACTGGAGTCACCAGTATCTATTAAATCAGGCAACTGAACAACAGTAGTGGTTTTCGCTTCCACAATAGATTGCTTTTCTGGAAAATTTACTCCGACAGTCTGGTCTCCATTTAGAAGGCTCAAGACCTAATAGTTAAAAATAAAAGTATTTATTGTATCACAAAAAAGAAATATATGATGCATGGGGTAGAGAGTAGGTGGTTGTCTATTAAAAGGTTAGGCACAAATGCCGTTCTTTTAACACAAGTTAATAAAATCTTTGGTTGCTATTGATACAAAAAGAAAAAAAAAAAAAAAGAACAACTGTGTTAATATTGGAATTTTTGTAAACTCCAATTCTCGTTATCCCAGAGCTAAATGATTGTTTATATTATCAACTTTTGATGATTGATCATAGAAATACATCTTTTGTCATTGACTCAATTGTCGGTTCTAGAACTCTCTTCTTTAGAATTGACCAGGCATCATCTTTGCATTATTTTGCTCTTTAAATTTTGTCTTTTCATGTAATCCCCATACAGGACAGTGGGCTTTCACACAGATGTTAAGTTAAAGTAGCTCCCTCCCCTCTGCCTCCCCTGCCGCCCCAAAGAAATAGGAAATACTGCATGTGTGCATATGCAAGTGAGAAAACCTGAAAACCTTTCATAGAAAAACCCAAGGAATGTAATCATCTACTCTTCTATGGTTCTATTCTTTCACAAAAAAAAAAAAAAAGAAAAAGAACTTTTTCCATGGACACTATTTTTTATTTCTTTTGAAGGGCTACACAACTGGGGGGAAGTAGCCCATCCTCCAAGTATGTCATGTTCATATATAAAAGCCTAATACAATAGAATTCCCTCAAATAAAGACCACTATTCAGTCTCCCATGCATTCTTGACACAAATAAGCCCCACATGTCAGAAGCTCACAATTCCACTGTATATGGATCCCTCCAAACTTGCCAATCCTGGATTATTACTATTCTTAACAGATCTGATTTATACTGCAAAAACTTAGAAAGTAACATAAGCCCGTTCTTTATTATTTTTTGAAAATTTAAGTTGTTGAACTATCAAGTACATCAAAAGTCATTTTTCTATACAAGTATCAAAATCAAAATAAAGGGAAGCTGGAGATTCCATAACTTTTTTCAGACAGCTACCTGAGAGCTCATTATTATTATTGTTATGTCATGGATGTTCTACATTCTAGAAGCTAACATGGGTTGAACTTTGCATTGACATATTAAGCAATTCATGAGGACCATGAATAACAAGTTCCTCTTTGAGATGAAGATGTTTCAGGCACACAATCCATATAGCATGAAACTAGAAGCTAAAAGTTAGAATTTAATATTATAAGACATTTACCCTGTTTGCCTTTTCCCTCTGTGAAGCTTGGGGAGACTCAGAGCATCTCACAACAGTATCTTTGTTCTCACTAAAATAGGTGACTATGGTTGAAAAGTGTGCATCATCCCTTTTCCTTAAAATTGAATCAAGGACACAGATAGCCTTCATACGGATCTGACAAAGAGGATTCATCACAACAACCTTTAGAAGATGATAAATGGCAATTGCTTCGTATAACAGTAAAATCTTGGGCTGGTTAGTGTAAGATGCAGGTTCAAATCTGAGAATGGCCACTTTGTGCCAAAAAAATGCCAAACTTAGGTTATATCCAGTCTAAACCCTACGAAGACTCTGGAGACCATCATTGGGAAGTGGCCAGTTTGTGCCCCAAAAAAAACTAAAGGTTAGGTCAGTATCCAGTATAATTGCTAGAAAGGCTCTGGAGACGGGAGACCATCTGTGGCCCTTTTTAACCTTTAGAATATCATAATGTAAGAGGAAATTATTTGGTGCATGATAAAATCTGAGGATAACAAGAGTGAGAATGTGGATTCAAGTCTGAAAGTGACCACTTGTCAAAATATGTTAAAGGTTAGGTCCATATTCAATCCACCCCTCCCAACTGTGCACTATCATTGGGTAATGACCCTAAGATCATGAAGTAGGAAAGAAGAGATCACCACGCTCTTAATGTTAATGTCAAAGAGATCAAATAAGTTGCTTCATGCTTGATTGCTACAGTAGTGCATGCATGAAGCAGCTGGTTTTAAGATTGTACCGACCCACAGACTATGTATGCATAAGTGTTTCATTGCACTAGTTAGAACAGGAACAAACCTGCCATAAATGAGATTGAAGCTTTAATTCAAGGGCGTGACTTAAAGCCATTGCGTCCAGCTTTGAGGCCTCCACAAGGAAAGTCTGAATGGCATCACGAGTGGGTTGTAGACGAACACCACTGGATGTAACAATTGTCTCCAGTAGCTTTTCTTCACGACTCTTGTTCCCTGAGTAACTTGAGTTGGAGTCTCCATTTGTTGTTGCCATCATGTTTTCTCTTGAATCCTGACCCCATGTTCCAGCACCTTCACTAGAGATTCCAGAAAAACCCTTTGTTTGGCTATGAGGTTCAATTCCTTCATATCTATCTGAGTTGTCGATATCTGTTGTCAATGACCTTCGCAAGGTTGGGCTTTTGTAACTCCCGGAATCATTCTTCTTCAGGGAATGAGCTCCAGTGAGAGTACTAAGTCCTTGTTTGATAGAAGCACTTCCAAGGCCAACTACCTCGCTGAGAAATGACTTCTTCTCTTCTGATGGCATCTCAAAATTAGTGTTACCAAATCCTTGTATTCGCTTCGTAAGTTCTTCGGCAGGTGCAGGCTTGCTGTCCTCTGCAGCAAAAATTGCTGAGATAGCCTCATGAGCTGTATCACGAACCGCCTTATTAAGTGCATCTCCTTTCAATGGGTCCAATTGGCCCTTGTAATGAAACAACTGGCGCACTGCCACCGAATGACGTTGCATCTCCCTCCGGAATTCCACACCAGATTTAACAACCGCATATTTGATCAGCCTTAGAGCCTAAAAAAAACAGAAATGAAACTGGCCTCACCAATTTACTCTAACTCGAGCTAAAAAACAAGTTTAGAATAGAGAAGGAATTACGTTTCTCATAATTTCTTTCCTGATAACTCAAATTTCACATGTATATAACGCGATTTCCCTAAGAACTACATCTCGAACTAAATGTACGAAGTGATTTTTTAAGTTTTTACTATTAATCACTCAAGCTCCTCGCCTCCTCCTACATTATGCCTTCAAGGCCTACGCTTTCATCTCTCGGAACGATAGAGCTTAGAAGCACTAAAATTTAACATTAGAAAAAAGCCAAAGAAGATTAAGAATCGCGTACCTTCTGTTTGACTATTGGGCTCTTGTGTTCGAGCCGTTTCAAGATAAATTCAGAAACTTCTTTCACAATGCTGACATGAGAAGACCGAAGAAGCTCACAAATTTCCTCTAATTTATAGACAGGAGTGACCTTATCTTCATCCGATGTGGCGCCATCGATCATGCGAGATCTCCAGTAAGACTCAACGGCTTGTCTGCTCGAATCCATGTCGCTACTCGCTAATCTTGGTCCAATCACAAAGACCCACCGAACACTAAATCAATTGGAAATCATAGGAAAGAGTAATTAACAGAAACGTTTGGAAGATCGCTCCAAAATCAGGGTCTTTGGGCGCGCAGTTAATTAACAGAGCCGGTTCCCCCGATCGGAAAATCCAATTACGGCAAGTTAAAGCCCAATATCACGAAGAGAATTTCGGGGATGGATAAGAAACACAATGAAACCCTAACTCCTCTGATCTTAAAGAGGATTGTGCACACCAAGAACGATCAAGAATCCCTCAGAACTCAGGAAGTTGTAAAAATCGATGGAGGAAACAACCTGAAAGAGGAATTGAGCTTCAACGGCCTGAAATTAGGGTCTTTCAGCACCTGTTTGTGATGGAATTCCAAGGGAAATAGAGGAAAGAGAGGAGCTCAACTGCTCAAGCCTCAGGAGGAAGACGAAAAAGTTTTGATGGAACAGAGAAGCCTTTGAGTGTAGACAACAACTCTCTACGTACCGCGTACGTGCACAGACCATGGACACGGACTGGTCCTTTCCGCACGTGGTCATCTTAATAGCGCCACGTGCTATAGGAAAATTTCTTAATGCCCCTGAATTATGCGGAAAATACAAAGAGACCCTTACTCTTCCACCCCCCACCGCGCATACAAGTAGAGCGGGAGGGGGAGATGGACATACTTTTATTTTCTTCATTCTTCATTCCTTTTTCTCCATTAATTGAGATCCTGGAAACCACGTCTTTTGGGTCTTGGGATTTTTGGCAGCACCCTATTGGTCGGATTATTTCGAGGTGGTTGATGATTTAGAGGCCAAAATAGAAGATTTTTGTTAGATGAGGATTTGGATGTCGAATTGATTAGGCCGAGTTGGGGGTAGATTGGATGTCGAGCTGGGTAATTCTTCAGAAACTTGCAAGGAATCAATGTTAGAAGACCGGGGTGGTTAACCCGGCAAGGTCGCTCCGATGATTAAGTTAGTACTCTCGTAGTAAATCGCGAACTAAACAATTATAAAGTATGAGAGCTAGAATGTGCTTACTCACCTCTCTCTTGTGTCATTGGGGTTAGTGCCTTTATATAGGCATTGTTTGGTTTGGACCTCACGCACCACATCTGAGATTTTCGAGAGGTCATGCCTAACCGGTCCGAGATCCTCGGAGGTAACCGCATGCATGTTGACCATCCTCCGGAACATTCAATACGTGGGCCAACTTCTAAGAAACCTGGGAGCGTCGAGATATGCATGTCGAATTTGTCAGTGAGCACATCTCGCAGGTCACCGCCTAGTCCCTAGTCAGGTCGGCATACCCTCGAGGGATGTCGCTCCTCGCGTCGAGGTCACTTCGGTCGGTGATGAGGTGCTACAAGCTAACCCTGGACGAAGTGTTGCAAACCGACCTAAGTTCTGGTCGAGGTCGTTAGGTCGACGTAAAGGCAGGTTGCCAGGTCGACGGTAAAGGTAGGTCGCCAAGTCGACGGTAAAGGCAAGTCGCCAGGTTGGGATAAAGATGAGATGTGATCTAGGACTCCAAATCATCACTTATGTGGTGTCTAGGTGTCATTAAGCTATTCTGAGATGCCATGTGTCACAATGTCATTGGAGGGCCAAATCCGCCCTCATCACTTTCCTTTTTAATGCCTTAGATTTGGGTCTTTTATTTTCTTTCCTTTCCGTTAATTGATTTTAGTAAACTCTATTTTTTTTTTGATTCAACAGTAAACCCTAATTGAGATTATTGAAAAGTTATGCACTTATGCTTTGGAAAACGGAAAATACAAAGCTTTTGGTTTTGAAAGTGCATTCCAAAAAAGGTAATAGCTAACTGTTAGACTACAAATATATATACTTTTGTTGGTTTGAGACTATGATTCCAAGCATAAATAGTGAGGTTGTGTTTGGATAAGCTTCAAGATTTGTGTTTTTAAAGTCCAAAATACTTTGGGACTTAAAAGCATTTTGAGTTTAAATTGTTGTGTTTTTAAATGTGACTCTTTCCAAACCCACTAAATATTTTTTTTAGCTTAGTTTTGTTTTTCACAGCTTGAAGCTTGAAAGGAAAAAAACTTATCCACACAGAACCTTAGTATATTTTATTGACAATTGGTTTGGTTTTGTTTTGAAGAGGAGAAAACATGCTATGGATGAAACACTGTAGTAGTATTTATATCAATTGCTTTTCTCGGACAAAGTTTGAAGGAATTGATTTTTTTCGAAAAAAAAAAAGTGGATGGTTGTTGTCCTTTTTTTTTACTTCCTTGAGGTATTTTGAACCAATGTCATTCCCCAAAAAAAAAAAAGCACAAAAAAAAAGGATGGTAGGAGAGATGATTAGGTTGGCAGTCGCCATTTAAATGTAGTCAATGGGTCTTGAATTGAGATACAACATTAAAAAGAATTGAATATAGCTGACCCCATATGGTTGGGATAAGGCTTATAGATTATGATGATGAAAATGACTTTTTTAGAAAAGGAGCCATTATTGTTACAAAATAAAATCAATTAATCACTCTAACTACGTAATCCTTTTTCTCTTCGTTACTTCATCATCATCTAAGCTTTTTTTTCCAATTATATGGGGTTGGCTAATATGAGTCCTATTTCACCATTTTATTCTATTTAAAGTAATAACCGTTGTTAAATTAAGAGAGTATAAAAATATGGACTTGAGTATGAGAGATAAAGAGAAGTCTTAATTATTATAATTTTTTTAATAATTTGCATTCAATGTATTGTTATTGTCCTTTATAGAATGAATCAATAAACGAACACCAAGGAGATGTTAGAATAAGAAGAAAGTGTGTGCAACTATGTGAGAATGGAAGCTTTTTTTTTTTGCAAGAAAACCAAAGAGATTCATGTATAGATCTTTTGTGATTCCCTTGGGTTGGAAGGTGAAAACCCTAAGGCTGTTTTGAGTGAGGCTGGCCCCATGTGATCCTTGGTTCTTCAAAGCATTCTCTTGTACTTAGGGCTAGTTTTAAGTTGTATTCATTTCATTAGCCTATTGAGAAACATATCCATATATCTAAGCTTCAATGAAATATATAATAAAAAAAGAGTAGTGTTCAAGGATGAGAACACCATTAGAGGTTTGATTGGGACCTATAAGACACTCGTGAAGTAGAGACCTTGATGATCTACCACTTCAGGTTGGATAGGCACCCATGAAGTTCTGTCGAGTTTGAGTAGCACTAGAAAGTCTATCTAAGGTTTATAGGAGCCTTGAACCTATGATTGTAAAGGTTTTGTTGGCACCCATGAAGCTTAGTTGGTTGTTTTAGAGGAAATCCTCAAAGGGAATCTGAGGTAAAAGATGTAGGTAAGGGTTTCTGCCGAATTTCTATAAAAATATGTGTGCATTGTCTCTTCTTCACAAAGAACATGTTTATAGCTATTATCTTACCTATACTCATTTATACTTGATAGGCTACAATTTATATTTATCTATTGTAGTTATTGGAGTCTATTGCTCATCTACTACACATTCTTGTTACTTCACCTTCTACTTCATTTACTTTGGGGCTGCAAGTTATTTGTTGCAGTTATTAAAAGTTGTTGTTCATTCACAACTGCAACATTGAACAAATGCACACACTAAGCCTTCATCTCATTGCACTTATTTCCATCCATTCAAGAAAGCTTAGAGGTTTATATGTTTTAGGGGAAGTTTTTTGTCATAATGTATTCACCCCCTCTTGGGTCTAGCAAATTGGGTAAATCTTATTAAGAGATGCATTGATGGTTAGTGTACACACACGGGAATTGGTTAACAAAAAAGTTGTCATTTTTTTCAATATCCTAAGTAGGTAAATAACTTCCCCACCTTGAGGAAATACTAAAATTAATGAGACAAAATTGCCCATTAAACAAGTTTTAAAAACAAAAAGATATAAGGATAAAAATGATAATACAAAAACAAAAGTTTAGTTGAGCATAAAACAACATAGGTAATTAATTTAAGAGTAGCTCAGGTCTTTGCAACTTCAAATGATCAAGCAAGAAATCTCTTCTTTGGAATATTCTGTGTATTGGTTTACATAATATGACAAGCACGTAACAAGAAAATATTTGATGGAGATGAGATGATGCCTTCTCATATAATAAACAAAGCCAAATACTATCTCTCCGGTGATAACAATCTATTGGCAAGGGGTATGCAAGCACAATGCATCAACATGATTGGAGTAGGGAATTCTGCTACTCTTCTTCACATAGGTGGCTCATTTGACCCAAACACAGGTGCTGCAGGACAAGCTTTCATTCTTCAAGACACCGGTAGAAATCTCACAATAGCAGAAGGCAGAAGTTGTTGGGCCGTAGAAAGTTATGATGCCGAGCTTCGTGCCTTAACTAGTGGTCTAGAAGCCAGCCTCAACAGCCAATATAGTTGATATAACAATATATTATGATTGCCAAAAGCTTGTTAATCTCTTCACAATTCACACCAGACCAAGTTCATGGGTAGAACAGATGCACTGGGCTCACATCCGAAGCTGCTGCTTAGTTTCCGATCTTACTCACTTATTCATGTAAATAGATAGTTAAATCCAATGGCCCATCTTTTTGCCTACTCTGCTTGTAAGGGTAAAGTCACTCTAGCATATCAGGGCTGTTCACGGGTCGGGTTGGGTCGGTTTATTGAGATTTTTTCAATCGACCCGGCTTGGTCGGGTTACGTGAAATTGAAACCAAAACCGACCCTGTGTTAAGCAAAATCGACCTGATCGGTTTGAGTCAAGTTGGGTCGGTTTTGGCTCTAAGTTCAACTATGGTAATAAATTGGTAGATTGGAGAAAGAAGACTTAAATTTGATGTAAAAAAGGACACCTAATTCTATTAGAGAAAGAAGATTGAAATTGGTAAGGGGCAGACCAAGTTAGAATAGAAGTTATCAAGAAAATAGAAATCAAACTGTACTAGAGAAAGAAGACTAAAATTTGTATATTTCAAGAAACCTTCTAATCTAAGTAAAAAAGGACACCTAATTCTAATTGTAATTGGTTGCCTATTTGGTGTAAAAGACCATAAAAACTAGGATCCTTTGATTCTTTTTTTTAAACATTTCCAAAAAAATTCCTTGTCTAGTTGTTTTACAATACTTGCTATTAATGTCATTCCTAACTAGAAGATTATAAATTAAGTTAGGTTGTAACTAGGATAGAGACAACTTAGTTAAGTAGGAACTAAGTAGGTTGTAACTATTAACTAGGAACTAACTACTAACTATTAAGTCGGTTCGGTTTGGGTCGGTTTCGGTTTTCATATGGTTTTCACATATGAAAACCGAAACTGACCCGAACCATCGGTTTATGATTTTTTACAATTCAAAACCAACTGGTGCTGAAGAAAACCTGGCCGACTCAGGTTGGGTCGGTCCGGATTGTCGGTTTGATCGGATTGGGTCTTCTTATGAACAACCCTATAGCATATCATTCTACTATCCAAAATCATGTAAAAATATTTTCTAATCAGTAAAGCTGTTTTTCTTGTGTGCAAAACAAAACCAAGATAGGTAAATGTAGTTATTTGAATAAGTGTTAGCTAGGAAACACTTAAACACTTACTCTGAGTAAATAAGTTACCCCAAAACGATGAATTCAGAAGTGTATATAAGAAATATGTTTATTAGCTTTAAAGAATATATTTTGAATGTAAGATAACATTTTATTAATAAAATCATTAAGTACTTGAGCATAATCAAGCTGAATTTTGAATGAATACTAGCTGATTTTTTTTTTGTTATGGTACCCATTGATTGGTATCAGGTATGCTGCCGTAGGGTCTGTTTGGTTTATGGTCAGAATTGTAATCAATCCCTTGAAATTGAAGTTGGAGTCCCCTACCCGTTTGGTTCAAATGGGAATGTGAATCAAATTCGATAAGATATGCATGACTCCCAATAAGGGTCGGAATTGGGTAAAGAGAAATAGGGTTTAAGGGGGTTTTTAAGTTACTTGTCTTTTTTCTTTGGGTAATTAAAATGAGATTTTCATTCCTAAGGGAGAGCCAGAACCAAAATGGATATTTCCTTAGATGGACGAATGCCATTCTACTAGGACTAGGAATCTGAATCATATTCTGCCCAATCAAATGTTGGAATCGGAGGAATCAGAATAGCCAAATCCGATTAGTAACCGCTATTCACACGGACCAAATGGACCCTTAATTTTAGCATATTAGGACAGGCCCCAATACATAATGAAATTTGCACCTTGATTGTATTGTCTCATGACAATCAAGTTTGGCAGGTCAGGTGGGCCCAATCCAAGGTCAAAATGACCCAGCCTACATTCTTACATAGGCTAGGCTTGGATTTTCAGTATTCGGTTTAGCCTGAGTTCAAAATCCTCAAAATTTTTGGGTTGGGCATGGCCCTAATCCTTGGGTAGCCCAAGCCCAATTTGAGCCTAGCCCAACCTTAACCCAATTAGAACTTGGCTTGACCATACACATACATACATACATACATACATACATACATACATACATACATACATACATACATACATACATACATAGGTATATGCATGCATATACATACATTTACACATGCATGCATGCTTATATGCAATATATATATATATATAGTTCTTATTTATTTAAGGGTTTAAATGAGTGATGCTAAATAGGTTTATCCAACTTTTTAGTACATTGGCCCCACCAACCCGAGCCAGTTTAAGCCTAAGCTTGAACCCGAGCCCAACCTAAATATGCTAATTTTCAGTTTAGGCTAGGCCTGGATTGGAAACACTAGACTCAGGGGCAGAGCCAAGTATATTGGTGGGGGGTCCTTGGCCCCCCAAACTTTTTGTTAAAACCATGGTTACTTAGTGGAAGGTAGGTTAAAAACATAATAAAGTGTGTTCTTGGCCCTAACTAAAATCTCAAAGGATCACTTTGTAAGGATCCTCCAACTCCTGAAATTAAAAAGAAAAGAAAACTATTTATCTTTTCTTTAAAAAGTTTGTAATAAATCCCAACTTTCGCAGGTCATTTTTTATTTTTCCCCAAATCCTACTTCTCCTTCCTATCTTATTTTCTTGTTTAACTTGCCCCCAAAAAGGCATGCCCTGGGCTTGGGCATTAGGCCATCCATTAGGGCTAGGCCTGGATTGACACTTTAAAGCCAGTCCAATGTGCTCGACTTGCACTTAGTATTTTTTTTATAAAAGGAAAAATTCTCAATTTGTACTTGCACTTTGGGCCCTGAACTTTAAAATGTGACAATTCAATACTTGAGCTTTTAAAATGTGTCAATCCATTACCTACCATTAATAAGTCCATTAACCAACCATTAAGTGACATTTGAAAAGATATAAATGCCTTTGGAGTATCATCTAAATTCTCTTTATCAACCATCCAAACATTGATAAAAAATGAATAATCTCAAATTCTTGCTTCTTCTATTAAAGGAAGTTGAGGTCATGTCTGAGTGTGTATTTAAAAAGAGACAAGAATTTGGGACTTTTCATCTTTCATCGATGCTTGGATGGTTGATAAAGAGAATTTAGATGATACTTGAAAGACACTTTTTCTAATACCACTTAATAACTGATTATGGGTAAATACTAAATTGACACGTTTTAAAAATTTAGAACCCAAAGTATCACTAAGCCAAAAGTACAATATACTAATTGAGAATTTTCTCCTTATAAAAAAAAAAAAACTGTTAGAAAAAGATCTCCGAAAAATTTCGCGAGAAGGACGAAATAGATAAATCACAAATGTTAACAAAACCATATGGGGAATGACCCACCGGCCCGCCCAACCTTCTTCGTTACACTTTCTCGACAGGCGCCTCAACTTTCTTCAATACCTATTTTGCCCTCCATTAATGGCAAAAGGGCTTCCCCGCGCTGGTCCAATCAGAATGCTGCTCCTCTTTTCTCCACCCTCTGTTCTAGACCGACTGATTCTTGCCCCTCCTCTCTCTTTCCCGGTCCATTTCCAACTACTTTTTCTCTTATTACTCGTTAACTCTCAATTCCCCCGCCATTTCCATCTTGATCTCCCCCCGCTAAGCAGACGGCGGTTATCAGCGATGGCAAAATTCTCAAGCTCATATTAGGTTTCGTTTTTTTTTCTCCTCCCCTGCTTCTTCTTTTCATCGGAGGTTCAATCCTACACAGCTTTAGTTAAACCAAAATATAGATTTGTGTTCTAGCTGGAGACTCTGAAGTGACCCCCACTTATCTTCTGATCTCCAGCCAAAGCCTGATTCAGAGATCAGGCAGTCAGGGAATAGCCGGTGAGGTGCTGGAGTTGCAGACTTGAATTCTTCCCTTTGTATCTATCTCAGTCGCGTTCAATGCTATTTGCAGGTATCTAGACGAGCCCTAAGGATCCGATCTCATCTCCTTCTTGAACGATTAACAACATGCAGGAACGCTGTTAGATATATGTGACCTTAACTTGTAGTTTCTAGGTATAATTTAGGGTTTAAATCTACTAAGTTATTATTAAATTTACGTTTTTTGAAGCTTGATATTGGTCCGATTTGGGCTTCTATTACAGTACGGGTTGTGCTCATCCATTCCCACCAGAAAACCTACGGGTTTGAGATGGCCGATCGATGTATCGTTACTTTGTGCTAGAGAAGGGGATCTCAGAATCCGGTGCTCATTTGAATTCGTTTTGTATGATTTTCTTTCTAACTCAATGGGGTTTGTGATCTCGCTGTCTTTATAATGTTAATTTCGTCGTGGCTTTAATGAAGTGGAAACATGTTTTTGTGTTATTCTTCTCTGGGGTTTCTCATGGCCTGTTTTCCTTCTCCGAAACCCGGGTTTAGAATTTAGAGTTTGGTGTTGTTCTTAGAATTTATTTTTTTTTCTTCCTTGGTTTTTTTGTTAGGTCGTCCATAAACAAGAACCCGAAAGAACCAAATGCAGGAACCACCGTCGCTGCTTACGTGATTCCTTCGTTTCCTCTAACGAACATCACATCGTAGAATTCTTTGTCTGCATGCAAATTAAATAGTCCAGGTGATTCTTATGTATCTTCGTTTATCCTCCAGAGGAGATTCCGAATAATACATAATTCCAGCTGCTACATTTAGGAGGCTTGGAGCATTGATATATTCCTGTCTGTGGTTGAAGGAAAAAATCTAACAATCAGTGACTTGATAAATTTGCCGTTGCATTCACTATCCCATATACTATTGTAATATCTAGATGTGCATGTACTCTCTCTCTCTCTCTCTCTCTCTCCTGGTTCTGGTTGCAACTTCCAGCATAATTCCATCGTTGTTACTAAGTTTACATGCATTTGTTATTCATATCATATATACACTTCTTTTGGCAACTCATTCTCTGCAATCGTATACCTAAACAAGACAATATGAAACCATTTCTCTTTTTTCTCCTTAGATTTTCCTTGTCATATTGGTGCAATGGATACCACATGTTGAACAATATCAATTCGTTGTTTGGAAAAACTTTGCTACCATACAAGTGATATGATATAATAATTTAGCTGGATGATCACAATTCTATCAAATGAAAGAGTTATTTGATTTAATAAGCTACAAAATAGTTTTTTTTTTTTTTAAACTTTCCTTTGTATTTTATTTGAACATATTGAGTTAATTCTTTATTTTCCTTGTGGAATATAAGTTAACGTGTCCATTTGTCCTCATGTAGCTTTGGACCACTGACCACTCCAGCTTTTTCTTAGACATTTCCATTTCCCAATTTTTTTTGCATTTTTTTTATATAGCTGTTTCAGGTTTTATTTCCCTCATTCCTAAAATGCAATTGATTGTTTGTAATATAGTATCATGCATATATGGATATGCCTCACAAAACAAGTGATGGAATTTTAACTTCAGCTATTTGTCTTAATCCTTTGTTATTGTATACCTATTTTAAAGCTGTGCATGTTCCAGACCTAACTGCAGACTATTAAACTCAAAGGCTCAAATTCATTCACTTTTTTTCTGCTTTTCTAGTCATCTTTCCATCTTCATCACTTTTCTCTCTGCAATTAATTGTCTTACTGGGTTTCATGGGTCCACTTGATTGAGGCAATTCACTTTTTTCTCTTGTCATCAACTTGATTTGTTTCCCAGAGCAATTTCTTGGTGTTTCAATTTTTTTGGCTTGCTCATATCTATTTTAGCTCCTTCAATTTGTAATAGTCTAACAGATAACTTCTCAGTTCTTCTTACTGGTTCTATAGTTGATCTTCACTACATGTGCTCAAACCATCTTAGTATACTTTCCCTCATTTTATTACCTATTGGAGCTACTCCTACGTTTCTTCAAATAAGTTCATTTATGATCCTATCCTTTCTAGTTTTCCCACTCATCCATCTCAACATTTGTATTTCTGCCACACTTATTTTTGGACATGTTTATTAAATATATATTGTGGAAAAACTTTTTTTAAATAATAAGATGAGTATATTTTCATGTGCAATTATGATAGTGGGTAGACTACACTTTATTCTTTTCCTTTTGTTCAATTCAGTGAAGTGCTTGCAGTTGCTAGTTTACGAGGCTTGAAATATTTTATTTGTCTGAGATATATGCTGTGAATATTCTGGCCAGAAATTACATGCCATATATAACAAACTTCTAGCTCTTTAATCAGGTAATGTTGACTTCTTCAATATTTTTATCATGATGCTGGTCAAACTAGGGAGTACACAACGCAGGGGCTGTATTGATTGCTGCGATTTTCTTGGCTTATGTGGCATTTTTCTCTATTAAACGTCTTGATGGAACTAGCTGTTTTACTCAATCAGAAATGGTTTATACACTTAGATTTTGCTTCTGTGCAAGGCACAATAGTTTTATGAGAAGCAAGTGACGCTTCTAGAAACTCCAATTTCATAATTCTAATGGCAAAAATTTGACATCAAACTCTATATTGCTCTCTTCAAGAGTTTGCACTTTTGCATCCTAAAACCTGGTAGTAAGTAATTTGAAACAGCCTCTCTGGTAGTAAGTAATTAAGATTCTTATTCTATGTGGTTGGCCTTGGCGCAACGGTTGGATTGCTCCATTGTGACCTGGGTGACCAGGGTTCAAATCTTGGAAACAGCCTCTCTGTATGTGCAGTGCATCAGGGGTAAGGCTGCGTACATCTGTCCCTCCCCAGACTCTGCATTGGCAGGTGCCTCGTGCACTGGGCTGCCCTTTTTCTATTCTTTAATAGTTAGTACTGGTAAATAGATTTCTTATATTAATGAGCTTCCTACCCATCAGAGTCAACCTTGCCTTCAAGGTTCAAAAAACACATACAAAAAAGGGAAAAGGAAAAAAAAATATTATTTTACCTTGGTGAATGCCAGCCTACTTTGTTGACCGTGCAGCAACAACTGGGAACAATCATCTTTGCAACTTTACAACAAATGTATAAGGTTGGTGTAACAAGAAATTTCAAGAAAATGATTAGAAGACTTTCAAATATCTATCATTTGTTTGACATAGAAAACCTATGTTACATGGATACTGGTACTAGTATTCACAATCTTTGGTAGAAGGTGTCAAACTCAGCAATCTTGACAAAATATGATTCATGGACTCAGCTGCTATGTTTCCGTTTTAATTTAAATTTGTAGTGATATATCTTCTACATTATATAATAATGGGGTAATTATTGAAAAAGAAAAAAAGATTAAATATAGATGCATAAATCAGTGTAAACATAGATTGATTATACTATTATTAAAAAGTATTAGAAAATTATCATTCATGTCTAAAATTTCTCTAATAGTTTAAGTTCTTTAGTCACGTATTACATATGTGACAAAAAGATGATTCTTTTCAATTATCATTTTGGTGTGTGCACACACATCTGATGTGGGTAAGATGCTAATTTTGAGTGTCCATGGCACTTTCTGCTTTCTGAAAGAATGAGCTTTAGCATTACAAGACTTCAAATATTTCAGAAGATTGGACTTTGCCTACAATTGGTCAGTTGTTCTGGGTGGTGATGTTGGTGGTACATTCATTGTAAAGATTTTTTATGGGACTGGTACAGTGGTACAACTTCCAAACTCTTTATATATCTTTGCATATAACATAAAAGGTCATCTGCTAATGTTGGTCACAGCTATCTAGGATCTTGGGAAGGGTGGATTCATTATTTCAGAAGATTGGACTTTGCCTACAATTGGTCAGCTGCTTTGGGTGTAGATGTTGATTGTACATAAAGACTTTTTATGGGACTAATATAGATTCCGAACTTTTTGTATTTCTTTACATGTTACATAAAAAGGCCATTACCTAATGTTGGTCACAGCTATTTGGGGTCTTTGGAGGGAGTGGACTGGACCTAACCTTTGGCTTTTTTCACTCTATGTAGTTACTCTCAGACTTGAATCCACATTCTCATGCTTGTCAACCCAAGATCTTAACATTACACCAAGCATCATCCATGCCTTACATGGATGATGATATTTATACATGTAAGTATAGATTTTAAAGTTTTGATTACTCCTTAAAAAGTATAGATGTCAGGATGAGGATCACAATGAAGAAGCATTGTGATGGTCCTTAAAAACATTTTCTTAATAACCATTATTTCTCATGTCTTTTCTTCCATCAAATGGGATTGCATCTTCATCAGGAAATACTTCTATATCATTATCAAGACAGTTGCGACTGTGTCGAGCTTTCGATATTTCGGATGGGTCTTGTGTGGGTTGCAACGTCAAAAAGGAAAGCACTGACCCCATATAGTTGGGATAAGGCATGGATGATGATGATGATTCCATTGCTACTATTGTCTGCATGGAAACCTTTGTTGCAAAGAGAATTCAGTATCATCCCTTTGCTGGACACTTAATTTTTAGTATGAGTTCTGTGTTCAATACCTAATCCTGCTTCCACACTACAGAAAATTTAAAGGATATTTAGATGAGAAAATGGCGCTGCTTCAACTTAGAGGGCATTATTTCCAAAGTAACTTCTGCCTCAGTCACTTGTACTTTCTTATTTTTCTGAAGCCTGTGGATCAGAATAGCCATTCCCAACTTCACTTACTCATGAATATAGATTGTTTTGGTGATCAAACACATCACTTAGCTGAGGAATATGGTCAGGGAGACTCCAAGGCAGTCACAAGATGGTTGGGGAGTAATCAGGAATGAATGTGGATCTACAGGCATATGGTCAGGGAAATTAGAAGTCTGATGGGGGAAATGAGGACAAGCATCAGATGGGTACTTCAGGTTGCAAACAACTTAGCAGATGGTTTGGCAAAATGGGGGATAACAAGAGACCATCTGTTTTGGAGTTTGGTAACTAAGGGGGGTACCCTCCATTCAAGGGATGTGAAGTCCATTTCACAGACTTCTTAAAATGCATCTTTGAGGGGGTACCCTCCATTCGATTGACTTTTCCATTATTAATTTCTTCCTTGACATTTCACCTTGTAGCATCTACATTTACAAGAGGGATACGGTAAAGGCAAACCTGAAATTTCCTAATGTAATTAAGATTTTTAATTTAATAAACTTGTTAAGACAATGCAAATCTTTACAATATAACTAACTTTTAAAACAAAATAAAAAAATAGATATTAAATATCATTCAGTGTTAAGTTTAGAACACATATGAGTTGTTATGAGTCCATGTGTAATCATGCTCTCCTTCCATTTTCCTCTCCTTTTTTTTTTTTAATACTTATATTTTGAGATCAGATATAATTTTTACTGCAGGCATCTATTTGAAGATGATCCCTTTCTTTTTGAGGCACACGTTCATGAATGATTAGTTCTGTCAAATAAGAACAGGAAGTGCCTATTTAGCACATAGTTAAAGATGGAGGATGAGAATGGAATTGTGTTGAGCTTGGGTCTTTCCTGTGGTGGGTTTGCTGGTAAATCAAAGGGTAAAGATGGTGGTTCATCAGATAGTAAGACAGATGAAGGTGGTAATAGCAATAAATTAATGGGTGATTTTAAAGATTTCCTTCATACTGGTATTCAGAAACAGGACCTGGATAATGGTTCAAAGAAAAGTGATCTGATGAAGACCCAGGAGAACTTTTTTACTAGCCTTGCGAAATCCACTCCTGAGACATGCACTTCTGTGGACTTGAATGGGAACAATGTCCCACAGTTCACCAGATATGGAGGACTTTGGTCTTCAAATAGTAACATGACAGCAGAAGCTGAAGAAGAAAAGTCAGATCATCATGAGACAGGGGGCAAGCTGTGGGCAGAGGCAGGTAATAAACGTAAAATGTTGTTTGAGGATGTAAACCACCAAAAGAAACATGAGAGTGAAGTTCAGTATGCTGATGGACATGGCAAGAATCCTCCCAAGGCCGTTCTTACTCCAGTGAGGAGTTCACATGTTTCACTGACAACAGAAGATGGTTCAACTGCTGAAAATGAAGATGTGGCAGAATCTGAAGCTGAAGGCTCAACTTCAAGGTTGGCCATGCACCATGAAGATGGCACCAAGCTGTACATGGGTGGTGGTAGTGGCTCTTCTGAGGTTCCCAAGGAAGGTCATGTGCTTACTGATTCACCAAGTGTCATAGATGTCCAAGGCAAAAAGCAGTCTAATGTTCCACTAGGAAATGAATCCAAGATTGGGAATATGACCTATGGAATTCCGTTTTCTCTCCAACCGCTTACTGTGATGACTGTGCCATACTCTGTACCTGTAAAGGTGCCTAACCCTGCTGGTGCACCCAACACATCAGGAATTTCTGGACCTTGCATGATGCAGTTGATGCCTCCTGCAAATAATGAGCGGCCAGGGGGCCAACAAATGAATTCTGGCACTTTGCCATTTACTTTTGGCTATTCACCTGTACAGCTTCCGACATTAGAGACAGATCAACCCTGGGGGATGGTTTCTCATGCGCAACAGTTCCCTCCCTTTGCTGGAAGGAGCACTGGAGGTGTGACGCTGAACTCGGATAAATCCGAAGATGGCATAAAGGTAACCCAAGGTAAGCAATCTCCCCCCTCCATCTCTTTCTTAAGTGCACAAACACACATGTATTTGTGCAATTATTCATCATGTATTTGCTGTTGCGTTTGTTCCTAAGTTGGGTTCTCAGGGGCAAAGGATGGCATGGTGGTATGATGTCCTAAATATGATGGTATATTTGATGAACTAGGTTAAGCACTCATCTGTCTTGTAGATCATGGATGATTGTTGACTTGCTATGCACCTGAAAGGAAAGAGATGGCTCATCCTAGTAGTTTTCTTACACAGTTTGTAAAGTGTTGTCAGATGGGCCTTATCTTTGATTTTTTCTTTCTTTCTTTTTTTTCAATGAGGAGTCATGGTCTCATAGACTAAAATGATCAGAATAGTATAGATTTTTATAAAATGAACTTCAAATGGCTGATATTGTATATCATGAACAAAATAAATTAAAAATAACTTTTGTGAAACTTTAACCTGTATCTTTAGAAAAAAATACTTAGAAAAATGGCCTAGGGCTAAAAATGGATCAGATTGAATCAGATATAAGTAGATCCAAATTTGGGATTTAAGTTGATTCTTATCTGTTGGATTTATATTGGATTTGAATATAATTTTGATTGCAATCAGATATTGAATAACAATAATAAGTTATCAAATAATTATCAAAAAAAAGTTATCAAATATTATATGTTATTAATAAAATTAACTAAAATAACTTCACTATTGTATATCATGAAGAAAATAACTTGTTTGAAACTTGGAATGTATGACTCTTTAGTAAAAACACACATTCATATGAACTTTACTAATAAATATAATATATATATATATATATTATATATATATATATTGTATTTATTAGTAAAGTTCATATATATATATTTGAAGTAAATATAAGCACATATATTTAAATTGAATGAATCAGATTGTATAGAAGTGGATCCATATTTGATCCAATTGTAAATGGATTGAATTCGTGGTCAGCCTTAACCAATCAGATTGAATTCAAATATGAATTTGGATAGACAAACGGATACTGTTTGCAGCCCTATTTATGATCAAGAGTTTCATTTTCAAAAGACCGAAATAGATTGTTTTACTTTTCATCTTAATCCCTACAAATTTGCCATGTTATTTCATTTTTTTGTTCCAACATTTTATTCTTTAAAGATTCTCATCATATTACCTATATACTCTTCTTTGTGTTGTGTTCCTGATATTGTTATCTATCTCATCAGAAGCTTTGTTGTACGATGCGAAGGCATCTGAGTTGGCAAAAGGCAGTGGCAAACAGCACACCGTGGAAGAGGGTGGTGCCTCTTCCTCTTCCCAAACAGAAGATGAGGTGAAGGGAAATAGCACGATCTTCAGGCCAAAGGAAGCATCTGACCAACCAATAATGGAAGGTTTCCCTCAGGAAGGTTCAGCTATAAGGCCGGGTTTGGCTGCAGGACTGAAATTTGGGGGGTGTGGTTCCTACCCGGATCTACCATGGGTTTCTACCACGGGTACAGGCCCCAATGGTAGGACAATTTCTGGAGTTACCTACAGATATAACAAAAATCAGATTAGGATCGTCTGTGCTTGCCATGGGTCACATATGTCTCCTGAAGAGTTCATTCAGCATGCCAATGCAGATAACCCCAATCCGGAGAACAACTCAGGCTTGCCTTCATATCCTAGTAGCAACCCTGCAGCTTCGGCTCAGAGTTAGTCATAGCTTCTCAGTGAGTGTGAGGCCAAGCTTGATAACGTATTTAACCATTGCAATGAGAACCATCCATATGGGTTCTCTGTACCACTTGTAAGCTTCCTCGTTGCGTTACTTGCCATATATGATTCAGTTCTTTATTTTCATCCAATTAACTCAGATGAGCAACCGGTATTTATTCTGCAACTTCTATGTAATCATTTAAAAAGATACTCTGTTGTCAAATTTGTAACATTATTTAAGCACCCACTTTCTACAGTATTAGTTGTCTCTAAAAATTATGTTTGGGTGATAGACCGAGGATTTATCCTGCAGCAACTTGTTCATTGTTCGATTAAGTTTAAGATGATAAAATCAACTTCTAGACTTACGATGGAACGCAACTTGTTCATTGTTCTCTTCTACAATACTTGTGATTCTGGATTCAGGTAGCCAAATATCTTCTTCCTTGTTCTTCAACCAACGATATGGCCTTAGAGGAGGACCGGGATTCGTGCTGCTGATCCCATTTAAGGTTCTGAGCCGTACCCACTTTGACATCTTCGAACAGAGTGTAGTCTGATCGGATGCCCCTAAGCTTCTGATGAAGCTCATCCTCTTGGAAGGTAGAATAAAAAACTATTGTCCTCTGAATCATCTAATAGAGATGGTTTTTCTCACCCTGTAATTAGAATTGCCTGGAGAAGTCTGAGGCACCTCATAACGAGTAATATAGGAGCCGACATATTCCACCTTGATGTGTTTTAGAAACACCCCCTAAAAGGGGTTTCCCCGTGAAGTATTTTATGGCTGTTTTAACTAAACAGTTTCCAGCCAAGCAGAAAGTTAACAGTTAAAACTCAAAACCCTATGTGATTCTGATGCGGCAGTGTTTGTACTTGAAATGCCAATAGTACCTAATGAAAAGACTTTCAGTTCTTTTAAATTGTAGGGATATTCGCATTTTATGGTGGATTCTACCTTATTTTTGTAAAAGTTTTTGAATATTGGATGAGGTGACTTTAGCATCCACTATGAAAAAGTGATTGAGCCAAAATTCTCTCCATACTGAATAGCCCCAGTGATGTTGTAAAATTTTGCTGGCTACACCATACATTTCTTAACTGAGTCCAGAGAGTTGGGGTTTTCTACAATTTTTTACTGTACTTTTTCTTGCACTTCCATTCAGTCTGTGACAGGTTTTCCATAATGGACGTGTAACGAGATGCATTTCCTAGACTAAAAGCAAGCGTAGGAGAAAAGTGCGGGAGATTTTAATTTTCTAGAAATCTGCTAACAAAGTAGATGAATTGTCCACCGAAAAATAAAAAGGTATATGAGTTGGTTTTGTTGAACTCTTAAGGATAATAAAATATGTGCAAGGGGAATACATATTCCTGCATGTAGAGGTCACTGATTCAAATTTTAATTAAATGGAGACTAGGGGTTTGCCCATTAAATGTATATAAAGAAAATTCCTTGTGGAAGCTTCGAAAACGTAGTTTATTCTCTGAGAAGAACGATTTTTTATTTTAAATTTTTTAATCCCTGTATTTCAAAATTTGATATGTATAAACTGTAATACATACATACACTCATATTTTTGGCTTCACTGTGAAGGGGAAGAACCGAAGAAGAGCTGTATTATATAAAACTCAAAAAAAAAAAAAGAACTTGAACAGGGATCTTTGTATTAGGATGAAAATGGCGTTTTCAATTTGTTTTTTGGGTGATAAAAAGAAAAGAAAATGAAAGAGAATGATAACAAACCAAAACTGACAGAGAAAGAAAATATATTGGGCACAAGCTAACATATTGTCTAAGTTTCATCTCATGCACATGAATGGTTGGCCTATACTCAAACAATTAATAGATCATCTATTAAACAAAATATACCAACTTGACCCCTTGAGGGGTCTGACTGAACATAAAAAAGGGGGGGTCTGACTTAATTTCTGAGATTCAAGGAAGGATAACGATTGAAATCTTCTCGAGGGAAGTTTCTTCTTTACACCATTCATCCAACCTGAGGCTATGGGGAATGACAACTCCAGCTGGTAATGGTTGGCACATTCCAAATAATAAAGTTTGAAGCACAAAATATTCTGTATTCAGTGGTTTCCTCAAAAGACCAGGAAGAAACAAATGGTTCCAATAGAAAACCAAGCAAGCAAAGTACCCCCGTCTCTGTTAGTGGTTTCCTCAAAAGACCATGGAGTTATTCTTTCATTCAACTTCCATTCCATAGGCTTCAACAACATTACAGTGGTGGAGGTTTGGGTGGCGTGAGAGGCTCTTTAAGGCATGCTGGAGTTACTGTTTGAAGATTCCACTGCCGAAGGAGACTCTGCCCTCACCATCACATGCATCAATTCAAAGTGCAAGCATCCATGGTCATTGTCTAGCATCATTAAAGACATTAAAGTGTTATGTAGAAGCAGTCGGAAGAGGTTCCGATTCACTCATGTTCATAGAGAGGCAAACTTTCTGGCGGCTTTTTGACAAACGTAGGTCAATTGCTCTCCGGATTGTACTTCTACTCAAGACAAGAGTGAAATTGAGAAAATTAGATGGGAAGATTTTTGGGGTCACACTACCCCGTCTCTGTCAGTGCCCCTTTTTTGTACCCAAAAAAAAAGAAAACCAAGCAAGCAAAGTAACATATAATATTCTTACATTACACCCATTACACCTTGATATAAATGGCTGGATCATGGCTTCCTTCAAAGTTCAGACAAGGCATGGCTGCTGCTTCGCTTGCCTAAAACCATCTTTCTTTTAATCAGTTGTATTAACAAGTGCACGAAAGTCAACCAAAATAAATTTCCTAAATTACCCTTGATTTTGTAATAAGTTATTGTTTGTAATAAATAATTCACAATAAAGACAATATGGGTAGTCTAGGATAAAAGTTCGCAGAATTTTATGCTTTGTAAACTGGTGGGTGCCTTGTATACTACTTGCCCATCACCATTGTGACATATATGCATTTATATCCTGTCTCACAACAAACATTGCTGTGAAACGAAAAGCAAAAGCAATATTGCAAAACACGGGTAGTCTAGGATAGTCATTTTGGCAGTAGTGGGGGTCTAATTGGCCACCGACTTTTGTTTTTTCACTCCTTGTCCCTTGTTACATCCCATTCCCTGGCAAAGGAAGGCCTGACCCAGTCATTTTGTCTTGAAATGAAAGGGCTGGGCTAGGATACTTTTCGTGGCTGGGGGAGCTGGACCACCAGGCTCCCACCAAGTTCACACATAGGTGGAGACCATGCCAAAGTGAGGCCCACCTAGCCCTAGGTTTAAATGGATAGGTTTTCTTTTTTTGGACCCAAAGGGACAGTGATCAAGTGCAGATCCATTAAGGTCTGGTTCTAGTAGGATATGGGGATGGTCCTGGAGAGTGGGGCCAGCAGGGATGGAACCCATCATCATTGTATCTAACAACTTGATTTGGGGTTTAGAAGTTAATGGGGGCTAGAGTTGCATCAAGGCCAAGGCCCAAGGGGGTCTTGTGTCGAAAATCTTCAAAATGGGCCTTTACCTTGCCTGAAAGATATTACGTGTGCCATCTAATGATCTAAGCTAAGCTTCTAAAGTATGGGATTTGGGAGTAGTAGATGCATGGTTTAAAAATTAAAATAGAGAGGTTGGGACTAGTGACTATAAATCATGTTTGAAGCGTCTAGGAATATGATTCATGATGAAGGACATTGTTTTGTTTGACTTTTTTTGGGATTTGCTGCACACAATAAAGCTCTTCCTTAATCCTCTCGTTGTAGATTTGTAGGAACTCTCTCAGACGCGGAAACAACAAGCACAGCTTATGTGTGTAGTCTAAGTCTAACCAGTGTTAATTTAAGACTTAGATTGGAGTAAAAACCAGAATGCTCTCCAGGTCCCAGTTTTATTGCTTCACACTTCACAGGGTGATCTGTCCGCCCAATCCGTTAAAGGCCACCTATTCCTGGTTTTTTACGGTTCAATCGTCGGGTTCGAGCCGAGTCTTGAAACATTGTTTCTAACCACTATCTCCATCTTTGGAAATTGGAATAGAACGATACTTTGGGTAATTCCGTAGTTCCCTACCCGACCCGACACAAACAGTCTCCATCCCTCCTTCCCATTGGATTTGGATATTTGAATATTTGATTATTTGTTTTTTCACTTTTTTGAGCACTTTGTCTCACTTACTACAACTTTACAAAGTCAAAAGCAAAACAGCTTTCTTGCGGGATTCTACAAAGTACAAACCCGAAAGGCCGAAACGCCTCAAGTCTTCAACCACAAGCCATCCACGTCCAGTAGTCTTATTATGTACTACGCTCCATCATGGTGGCACTTTATGCGTTATACCTAAGCCAGCTTGAGAGTCTACGGCTACGCTTGCCTTGTTTTGCTCTTATAGTTACATCACTTACATCAATCACCAACCATGCATTTGGAATTTTTGTACGTTTTGGAGGGTACACCGTAAACGTATGATTCAGATTTCAGGGTCGGCAGTCAAACCTATTAATGTCTCCTCCATGCCCCCTATAATTCGTTTTCTTTGAATAAATTAATTTATTTAAATACATACATTGCCTACGTGTACGAAGAAGAAAGGAAGAAACTCGGCTGATAGAACCTGATGATGATGATAACGATGGATGAGTATTCCCTGGTGGGACCCAACCTCTTACCTCATCATCTGTTAATGTATATATACAAGGTCTTACAACACAAGACAAACCGGCGGCCGTGTCCAAGTCTCCATCTCCAGGGACTCACAGTCACAGAACCTCCGCAGTCCGCAATGCTTGCCGGGGGATCATAAGATTCCGGCCATATATTCGTACCATTTTTCCTTATGAAGCCATTGTTCTTTGCATTCCTCTTCCTTCTCTTGTCCGCTCATGTCGGTGCGCAAAACGGGACACGAGCGGAGGGCTCATCCCCACCCGATGCCGTCACGGCGTTCCGCCCAAGCCTCGCCGTCGTCATCGCCATCCTCTGCATCATGTTCTCTCTCACATTTCTTCTTCTTGTCTACGCTAAGTTCTGTCACGTTCCCGCTTTCGGTCCATTTAACCCTGGAGGAGATAACGAGGACGAACTCGACCACCGCCAGCATCGGGGTCTATTCCGAACAAGGTCACGGCTATCCGGAATCGATAGAACCGTAATCGACTCGCTTCCCTTCTTCAGATTCTCATCCCTCAGGGGGTCCCGGGAAGGCCTCGAATGCGTCGTCTGTCTATCGAAATTCGAAGACACCGAGATCCTCCGGTTGCTTCCCAAGTGTAAGCATGCATTTCATATCGACTGTGTTGACAAATGGCTTGAGAACCACTCCAGTTGTCCTCTTTGTAGATACAAGGTTGATCCCGAGGACCTCTCCACTTTTACGTACTCTAATAGCTTAAGATACTTGGGCAATCCTTCGGACCTGGGGGAGGACTCCACTGTCGAACTCTTCGTCTGCAGAGAGCAAGACAATCAAGGGTCTTCCAGGTTCAGTATCGGAAGCAGTTTCAGAAAGATTGACAAGGATGATGAGTTGCCGTTGCAAGTACAACAAAGTAACGAAGATAGTGGTGGTGGTGGTGAAGATGATCAGCAGAAGCTATTGCATAAATTCAAGCACAAGATCATCGTCTCCGACGTTGTTCTCAAGAACAGATGGAGTGATGTCAGTTCCTCCGACCTTATGTTCTTGAACTCGGAGATGCTTAGCGTCTTGTCCAGCAACAGATTCTCTTCTTCGGCTTCGAATAGCCAGCGGTTCACGGCGGTACAGCCAATCACATTAAATTTTGATGATGGGTCTTCTAAAAGCGAGCAAATTATTATCAAGATTAAGGAGGAGATTGAGAGGAAAAGATCGTTCGAAAGCAAGATTGGTAGTATCAATAGAAGCTATTCAATTTCCGATGCATCAGACCTTCCTTATATTTCGAATCCCGAAGCCAATATTAGTAGTACTTCGAGGTTCTTGAATCAATCTACTGCCGGGAAAAGATCGATGTCCGAAATTGTAAAGGTTTCCAGGTTTGCAGAATCCAGCGCAAATAATAGAATCAAAGTGGGAAATAATGCAAAAGAGGAGCGGAGAAGGCGTCTTTGGCTACCCATAGCGAGACGGACAGTGCAGTGGTTTGCCGGGAGAGAGAAGAGGTTGCAACAACAACAGTCTCAGAACAACACGAGACAATCTTCTAATGTATAGACTAGAGCTAGACTGGATTTTCTAATAATTAAAGCAGCAGTGTGCTTGGAAGTTCCTTTGATGCTGCAATGGTGATTTTTACACTTGACAGACATGGTGACCCGGCGGAATTCAGGTTGGGGAGAAAAAACCCAGTTTGATTGATGTGAGTAGCGATTGTCAAATACATAAATTTAGAGTATATGTTTTCATTTAATTTTATTCATTCTTTTTTTCATTATCTCGAATTAATGAATAACATGGATGCTTGATTACAGTTAAGCAGTGATAGATGAATGAAGGTAGTTAAAATGATAAACTTGTACGTAATTGGGGTTGTTTCTAAATTCTAATTATAGAGATGAGTTTAATTACAGTTATTGCTTATAAAAGTCGTCGCTTAAATCATAGTTAGTTTCGTGTATGCTGGTGCACTCTCCTCCAGCCCTTGCATGTTGTGTTGGTGCTCTGAACAAAATTAATTAATTAATTAATAGCATTTAAAAAAAAAGAAAGAACATGGGCAGTAAGCCCAAGTGATTTTTCCATGAATCCTCCGGGAGACCCAAGGAATAATCAAGTAGTGAGAATCTTCTTTAATTCCATGCAAAAAAATCAGTTCAAACCATACAAATTGAGCTCAGAAAATGGATATATAATAAGTGCAAGAAATGTTGCTTTTTTTTTTTTTTGGTTTCTTTCTGGTTCTGGGGGAGATGAACTGATAATTGGAATCTTAAAATCTTGACTTTGAAGGGTGGTACTTGGTAGGGTTGTAGATCAAGAATATGCCAACCCCATATAAATGTTACCAAGTACTTAACCCGATTTAGGCCCCGTTTAATTTGTGCTTTTTCTTTTTTGTGTGTGTGTGTCAACCCGGTTTAGATCGATTTCCCAGCTGAGACTCCCAGCCTGGATTTAGGAAAAAGGACCCGACCTGATAAAATTCCAAACAGGTACTTGGTGCTACCCACTCACGGCATAGACTTTTTCTACCTTGCTTAGAAAAGAATTGAAGTCATGGTGACAACTGATAACAAGAGGTCAATTACTTGCTGAACAGGTTGATCTCCTTGTCCTAGTTGTGAACCCATTTTTATTTTAGTGGCGTGACTCTATATCCATCCCTTCCCTAACAATGGTCAACCCCCAAACCCAAATGGGTTTACTTTTCTCCTCTCTCTCTCTCTCTCTCTCCCTCTTTGGTATTCCTCTCATCGGCTCTCTTTATTCAACAAAGAACACGCACGCGTCTCGAACAGACAATTTTTACCACCGACCTAGCAGTCTGATGAGTTGTGCCTGTACAAACACGCCCCACCTTGTCTTGAAAAACTCTTTTTTTTTTTTTTTTAAATAACAGAAGGATTGGTAGGAATTGTTATATATAAATAAATCACTGGTTGTAAGTATCTTATTACGATAGAAGATTGTTAATATATTATCACCCGGAAACAAAAATTGAAAAAAAAAAAAAAGGGTACTAGCGTTAGCGTAAGCGTAAGAGCACACTTTCTCCTCGTCTTGGAAGGAATCCTTGAATCATCCATCACCTTTACCAGGTGTCTGCAGTCTGCTTCACACGCTAGCTTTGCTTCATATATATAATTTATGTAATGATATAATCTGTGTTTCTTGCTGTCTGCTATTCGTTATTTTTGTTAATTGGGATTACAGTGAAATAAACAACCCAAGATGCCTTTTGGAACACGCATGCCAACACATTTTCATGTAAATAATAATTAATTAGTACGGAGAGTGATCTCGATAGAGCCTTGTCTTGTCTCTACCTAATCGTAGATTCGTAGTTGTAATTGTAATTAGACATTATTATTAGTCGTTCTTCTTGTTACTTGCTATTCTAATTGTTGGACTGGACTGGCTGGAGGCCCACTTGGTATCCATTCGTTAAACTTGTTTTTTCTTTCTAATGTATTGTTTCTTTACTAATAAAGTAGGTGAATATGTGATGGATGTGTTCTTGTCTTTGTCGCACATCTCGTTTGATGTATAATTTGTTATTTTATTTTATGTTATAAATTACAATTAAAAAAGATAATTGATATGTTATGGTATGCGTGTGTTCCGATTTCCCGTAGAGTGTAGCCCCCCCCCACCAAATCCCGGAATTTGAAGGGACGACACCCACAAGGCCCACAACCATAATAACTCGTGATCCCATCCATGATCTATCTTGCACAAAGAAAAAGGTCGTGATTCCATGAGTTTTATGTGATAATTATTAATTAATAAAGTAGTAATTATTTTTTTTTTGCGATAATTATTAATTAGTAAAGTAGTAATTAATTTAAAATAGTATTTTTATTTATTATTGATATTAGTTAAAATTTCGATTGGGCTCAAAACCCAATGGGAGATTTAGGAAAAAAGTGTAATATATAAAACAATAATTAAATTAATAAAATATAATACAACTAATATAAATAATTAATTATATGATATACAATTATATAATGTAGTAGTTCGGTTTTTGGTTCAATTCGGTTAAATTTTGTAAACAAATCGAACCAAAATTTTAACACATTAAAAACTGAACTGAACCAATATCCAAAGTAACCAAACCGAATTAACTTATTTGGTTTGGTTTTCGGTTCTGATCCAAATTTGAACACCCCTAGTGATAACATATTTGAAGATCACTATTCCAATCAAGTGGTTGCCACTTGTTAGAACAATCTCCTTGAATCTTTTAGTGTTGGCATCACCGTTCAATATTTATCGCTAAAACTAAGTATGTGTTTAGTATGACTTCCGTTTATTAAATAAATGTTTGTATTTTATTTATTTTTAAAATAAAAAACAAAAAGTGATTGATAAACGTTTTTTTAGAATTTGTTGACAATTGGATGCCACTGTCACAGGGGTAGTTCTACAGCGGAAGAAACCCGTGCGGCGTCCAGGCCAAGGTAGGCCAAGACAAGACTTTGTGTACTGCAAGGCTAGGAGTTCCCCGATGAGATGGCTCCACCAAGGTCAGTAGCACTGGATCATGACCTCAAGTCGCATGGCCGGGGCACTCGGCTGGCTTTGGCCAGTCCATGGGAGGCGCCACTTATGTGTTAAAGGGGGACGGCCATGATGTTAGGCGACTGGGCGCCGAAGAGGTGACTGGGCAACGATGTGAAGGGTCTCCTGTATGTCGATGATGATGGGCACCTGTGTGCCATGTTGATAGGCAACCGCTTGGGCCGGAACACACCCGTGCGCTAAAGGCAACGGGGTAGCTCAYTCAGCTTGGGCAAGGGGCTGGCGAGGTGAAAGGTCATGCTTGAGCCAGGCCCGCATGCCAAGCCTCCCTTGAGT